CAGCACCATATCCTAGCAGAACACAGTGATGATGGACCTCACGGGCCTCGGCAGTTTCGACGGCAATGGCAGCAAGCGAACGCCACTTGTTGCGGACCAGATGATGGTGAACAAGGCCAGTAGCCAATAAGGCAGAAACCGGGACACGCTCGGCAGAGGTAGCGCGATCAGACAAAATGATGACCTTGTCACCATTATGGATGGCCTCGGTAGTGGCATCACAGATGGCATCGAGGGCCTCGATATAACCAGAGGTACCCTTGCTCTTTTCAAATGTGATATCAATGGTGCGGACAGTCCAATCCTGGTGAGCCAGGTTGACATTCTTCAGTGCATTGAACTCAGGAATGCTCAAGATTGGAGAAGACAGGAGGAGACGGTGGCATTGGGTGGGGTCCATCTCGAGCAGGTTGCCCTGGGGTCCAACGTAACACTCAAGAGACATGACCACAGCCTCTCTGATAGGATCAATAGGCGGGTTAGTGACTTGGGCAAATAGCTGACGGAAGTACTCGTAAAGTAGACGAGGCTGCTGGGCAATGCAGGCCAAAGGTGCATCGTTACCCATGGACCCTAGAGCTTCCTTGGAATCAGCGGCCATGGGACCAAGCAATAAGCTCACTTGCTCGAATGAGTATCCAAATGCACGAAGACGGGAGTCGTTCTGGATGGAGACATCATCCAAGGCAAAGGAAAGGTCTACATTTGAGTCAAGCAGTGACTTATTGATAGCGGGAAGCTTCAAAAGTTCCTTGTCCAGCCAAGAAGCAAAGTCATGACGGCGGGCGACGGTCTGCTTCAGCTCAGCATCATCAATGATGCGTCCAGCCACGGTATCGACGAGAAGCATCTTTCCGGGTTGCAAGCGACCCTTTTGCACGACTCTCTCTGGGTCAATATCAATAGCACCGACCTCAGAAGCGCAAACAATGCGGTCATCATCCATGACATAGAATCGGCAGGGTCGTAGACCGTTACGGTCGAGGTTGGCACCACAATAGCGTCCATCAGAGAAGGTGAACAGGGCCGGGCCGTCCCATGGTTCCATTTGACAGGCAGCCCACTCGTAGAACGCAGACTTAGCTGGGTCCATGGCTGGGTTGTCCTGCCAGGCCTCTGGGATCATGATCATAACGGCCTCGGGGAGTGACAAAACACCGTTGATCATGAGAAGTTCGAGCACGTTATCGAAAGCAGCGGAGTCAGAACCACCTTCCTCGACAATAGGGTAAAGTTGGTCAAGCTCGTCGCCGAAAACCTCTGACTTGAGGACACCCTCGCGCGCGCGCATCCAGTTTTTGTTTCCTCGCAAGGTGTTAATTTCACCGTTGTGAGCAGCCCATCGCAAAGGCTGAGCACGATCCCATGAGGGGAACGTGTTCGTAGAAAATCGAGAGTGTACCAGGGCGAAGTGACCCTCATAGTCTACGTTAACCAAATCATGGTAGTATGTGTAAACCTGCACAGGAGATAGTTGACCCTTGTAGACAATGTTCCGGTTGCTGAGGGAGCAGAGGTAGAACCAGTTACCAAGGCCAATGACATGAGTGGCCCGCTTCCGTAAAATATAGAGCTGAAGCTCAAATGTTCTCTCATCGAACTTTTCGGTTTCGGTGATTTCGGGCTTGTTGCCCTCGCCATATGCTGATTTCAATACAACGAATGGCTGCATAACAATAGGCTCCCGTGAAAGAGCGGCGGGACCAAGAATAGTCGAGTCCCGAGGCACCTCTCGCCATCCTAGGGTGCGGAGACCCAGAGAAGAAGCCAATTCCTCGAAGCTTGCAATAGACTGTTTGAGTGCCTCCTCGTCGGGCTTGAAGAACAAGTTTCCGACTGCATATTGGCCTAATGGAGGAAGGTCGACACCAACCTCTCGGGCAAAGTTCTTGACGAAGAACTTGTGGGGAATACTGGTCATGACACCGGCACCGTCACCGTCCCGCGCGTCAGAGCCAACGGCTCCACGGTGGGTCATGTTGCACAGCAGGTTGCGGGCTAGAAATCAATTGCGGTCAGTCCATTGTCTTGACTTATAATATTATTAACTCATAGCCTTGACACAAACTCACCATCACTAACGATCTTGTGGCTCGGCTTGCCCTTGATGTGGCTGGTTCTAATTAGACTTTGCTTCCAGGTTTCAATTGGGCTGGGATTGACTCACGCTGCAAAGCCTACACCACAGGCATCTTTCTCATATTCAGGATCATAGAGACCTTGCCGCTCGGGTAGAGCATTGGCCCAGCCATAGCCTTGCTTAGGCTGATACTGTGAATACTCCTGGGGAGCCTGTTCCTCACTTAGATCTTTGCCATAGAGCTCCTCTAAGTTAAGACCCATTCTTCCGCCGGCAGCCGACAGAGAATGGAATGGTGGGTGAAGGTTTTGGAAATTCTAGGAAATCCCCGCCGATTTGGGGGGGCGTATCGATAGGGAGCGGGCAATGTCGTCACAGATGTCGCAGCGCAGAAGCGAAGACAACGTTGGCCTGCGAAGTAGAGGTAGTTAAGAGTGGAGGAGATGAGAGAGAGAAAGAGAAAGAAAAGATTAAAAGGAGGGGGGGGAAAAAGATGAGAGCAGGGACTCCGGGGATTGCAGCGACCCAAAAGGGAAAAATACAATGGTGGGGAGCTACGTATGGAAAAAGTATGAGAATATCCAGATGGTAATTAGCAGTATTAGATTACCTAGGATGCTCCCAGTTGCATAACCAGATTGGCCGGAAACAGGGCATTCCATTCGAGCACGTTCAGAGGCAAATGATAATCATTACGGTAAATCATCGAGATAAGCATTGAACCAATCAACGGACACATGTTACAACCCAAGATTAGCTTTCTGCTACGTCAAGATCCTCGGTACTGTCATTTTATGTCTGTCTGTATATATTCCCTGTACGAAAGACTGTGTAGTTTTCTCGCTCCCTTCTTCTCTCTCACACCCACTCTCTCTCTACATTCACCCTCAGGATCCACGAGAAATCAAGGTCGGGAGGTGGGCCGACCCCATCACGATCCGAGCTGCCTATTGGACAGGATATACCGACACTTGACCAGCGGATTACCAACACCGGAGCCCCGAATGGAAGAGATTAAGTCGCTAATCCGCATCACATGGAGACTCGGGTTGGATGGGCGCAGTCCCGGTGGGGCATGCAGTGCTTAATCCAGAGTGTTCCGACCTGATTTGCCTACTATGCAGGACCAAGAGAGGTGAAAGTACTATACAGTAGACCACTTGGCATAATACACCTGAGACGTCCAAGGGTACAGTAAATTTCAAAAGGCTCCCAAGTTAAAAGACATAAAAGACCGTTTCTCTTGTATTTGCCAACTGTTACACACTGTATATTGGTTATATCATTACAGTACGGTTCTCAATCCCGACAGCCAAGACATCCCGGGATGTTCCTCTCCCTTCAATGGCCAACATACCACCCCCCGATTTCGGGGCCTTCCAGTCACTCTCCGGTATGTCCAAGCTGCATGCGGATTGGCTCATGCAGTTTCCCCGGCTCATTCTTTGAGGTCATGTAAACCGCTTATCGAATTACCTGGTCGCTCACTGGAGGCCCTGCATCCCCAGAATCCCCCCAGACTCCGGGGACTGAACTCCGCTCCCAGATCTCAATTGAATGACCTTTCGGTCTTCCATTTGGGGGGTCTGCATTTACGAGGTCTCAGCGTTCTCGCCAAAAAGGGCATTGGAGACAAGAGATTCGGCTTAACACGTGGGCAGATAAGACACGTGAGATGTGAACATGATGTTACCTAACTCGCTCACCTGGATCTCTTGTCCATTTTCCGCTTAGTCTTAGTGGCTCTATAGTATGATACAGTATACAGTATTTACCCGAATGGTTTTTGAGATCTATCATCTTTATGTGACTTCTGGATTCCAGTTGGTATCACATGATCCCCGTTCCTGCGCCAATGGTTTCCGACTTGAAAGTCAGACGTCAGGGGGGGCAAAGAGACCCGGTTTCTCCCGATCTCTCCGCTTTCCTGGAGGCTCACCGCCAGCTTCCGACTCTGGCTACTTGTCTTGGTAGACGCCGTACACAGCCTGCAGTCCTACAGTCTGGAGCCGAAGGGGTCCGCTTGTGTTTGCTACAGTGCATTGCAGTTGCAGCCCTGCACTCCAGTTGTCTGGGCTTCTATTGATTTTGCCACTGTGCATAAGTGGGGGATGGGGGGGGGGGGGGTAACTTTCTAGCTAGCTCTACACTACAGTATAGCTCTAGGATTTTTACTTTGGAGTGTAGGGAGGGCTTGAGCAGTCTTGTATAGTATGATTCACCTAGTGATTTTGGAGGCTCTGGCAAAGATATTGTTCCAGTAGTTCTAACGGTATGTTACTGCTTATAGGATCCTCTTCACTATTGAATCCTTACCATGCTTACCTGTACGGGTTTTTATGGTACTAAACAGAACAAGCTTTGGTTTGATCTTGTTCTTATGTCTTTATTGTTTACAGAACATGTTTAATAGACACAAGTTAACTTTAGTCAATGGATGTTTTTGTAGTATGCAGCATACGAACTTCAGTAAAGTCAAAAAAGAGAAAAGCCTACATGATGAGAATAAGGTCTCATAATTCTTATGTCAAATTCACAGGAGCCAATTCAAGGCAAGCCCTGATCTACAGCCTCAAACAATCGACAGGATATAGTACCGATAGAGTTAGTCGTTCCCCGCATACACTTTGTTATGATTGGCAGTGGAGCTGCGGCTTTTTTTGCGAGCTCCCTCCCAGTCCACGTCAAGTTCCCTGCTCTTGAACTAATTTGTCCTCTGTTCCTCACTAATTGCAGAGTTGATCTCTACATGTACTACAATCCCTTATCAACAATCTTGCCACAACGCGCAACTGCCATAACCACCCCTACCTCGAACAATACAAAGCAACATCACCACTCCAAGCTTCGGGCACCCTGAAATCCCCTACACCAGCCTTACTCTCTTTGTCAGACTGGAATCGACACAGATACAGCAATCATGCTCTCTCTTCCCTTTATCACCCCGCGCGACGTGAGATCAATATTGCCCTCCCCTCCCAAAGAATCCAATCCAGACATTAACAACTGGACAGTCTCATGAACTATGGTTTGGCTCCCCCCAACCATACCGCGCATCAACCGAGACGGGCCTTGACAATGCCACCAACCATCCCGCCCGCCGCAACAATGGCACAACCAGCAGTCATCGCACATTTATGCCATCCCGTTCACCGGGAAATACACTCGCCGCGCTGGTCGCAGAGGAACGGTCCCTACGCGCCCGGAAACAGAACATCGCGTCATTTGGATACTCGTGGATCCGGCCAGCGGGATGTGCGAAGACTATGCTCGGCATGAAGGAAGAGGAGGCGGAGCGTGAAGAGGCGCTGCAGGCGGCGGCGGCGGAGATGGATGCGGTTGAGGGGGAGGGCATTATTGACGATGATACGGGGATGCAGAGGGCAGATGGAGAGGAGGACGAAGGGATGGAACGGGATTTGGACGACGATATTCCCGATGCGGATGTGGACGCGGAGGGACTCATCGAGGAAGGTGAGGAGGGGCTTGAGGAGGAGGATATCGGGGATGAGGAGGGGTATATGGAGAGAGATTTGGATGATGATATTCCTGAAGGGTTTCCTGATGATGACTACGAAGGTTCTGGGTTTTATGATGACGACGACGAGGAGAATGAGGATTTCGATAATCAGCCTGATCTTGATGCCGAGATCCCTGTTGCGGATGGTGACATGAGTGAGGGAATGACTCGCGACTTGGATGATGATATCCCTGATGCGACAGAGGGCTCGGAGCAGGAGGGTGAATGGCAGCACACGGACAGTGAGGAAGATTTGAGTGATGAAGATGACGGCGAGTCCAGTATCATCCAGTCCCGGCTGGAGAATTTCCGCACTAGCACACCAAACAGTCGTGGTGGCTTGCCTCCTCCGCCGTCAATTCGTCGCCAGCCTGAGACTGAAGCTCAGCGCCGGTTTCTGCAGCGTTGGAGCGGTGGAGGTGATGCCCTTGATTCAAGCAGTATGCTGTATGACGATGAGGATATGGGCGCCTCTATTGCGAGCCAAAGCAGTCGACGCAGCGGGTTTGCGAGACGCTTCCCTAGACACATTGGCCGTCCTAGGGATAGCCTAGAATAGGCAAGACTGCCAAACAGAGTCACTATCGGTGCGAAGCTTTGTGGTTGCATGGTGTTCATTGCATCAATGGTGTTTTTCTTTATATTAGGAAAAAGGCCTTGGGAGTTTTGTGGATTTTGTAGAGATTTATGATACTCAAGACGTTCTATAAGCAAATGTTTTCGATTTAACTTGAGCCTGCGATTTATTAAGCCTAAGCAACTTGAGAAGTTGAGATCTCCGACCAGAATCCCGGCGGGGTTGACGCTATATGCATGCAGTATGTACAACCAAAGAAACTGGTAAGCTCTTGTATTATTAGCTCAAAAAAGTCCATATTCCCAAAACACCAGAAACGCTAAAACCAAAATTCCCATGCTGAAAGTATTGATAATTTGTACATGCTCCGATCCAAGAGATCAAGCGAAAGAGCATAGACGGGTTCTGTGTGACAAGTCAAGATATTAAATGGGATATAGGTGGAACGAACGTGGTCGTGGAGTAAAGCGCAATAACGTAGAGGCGAGAGACGACAGATACATGTGCTCAGAATACCCACACATAGAAGAATATGAAGAAGACAGCGCAGAAGAAACCGAGCCACACTCGCCAGCCGACGCCAGTGCTCTCGGCCATGCGAAGCATGCGATTCATATTTCCTCGGATTCGGACTCGGGTGTTTTCGAATGAGCTGTTCAGGTCGTCCATATGCGTAGTATCGCGAATTTCATCGCCAATTGCGAGTGTGATCTAAAGCATCGAGTTAGCGACTGGATAGTTCCGCCAGCAGTTGCTATCGCCAGCGAGGCGCAAAGGGATCTTACATCCTTCAACATCTTGACTTTGGCACTAATGCCTTCGACTTCGGTATCGTTTTGTGATTCAAGTGATGAGAGTACTGCATCGGAGTAATGTCCTCTGTAGTAAAATCGAGTCAGCAACTGAACTATCGAGAAAGAGGGAGTCAGAGGAGCAAAGGGTTGACAGACTTCTTGTCGGGTGATGCACTCTGATATCCTCTCCCAGCTACACCGGTGTTTGAATAGCCATTAGGTGCTGGACTGGAATAGCCTCCGTATCCATATCCTCCTGTTGGAGCTGGTGATCTGCTGGGCTGACGGGAGTCGCCACCGTATTGATCGAAAAGAGAAGAGGACCCGCGGGGATCACGTTGGCGGGGAAATCTAAGAGTATTAGTTGGTATTAGTCAAATGTGCACCGAATGGTTGAGCCCAGGAGAGGATGGAGGATTGGTACTATACCGTGAAGCCATGACGTTTGTTGGAATGTATTTTGGGATTGAGGCAGAAAGTCAGGGTAACAAGCGAGTTTGGTTTTATTTTATTGATAGCCAAGGAGCATTGTGCAAAGGTCAAGATCCAAGTTATTCACCACCGTTCGACTTCTCGATGCTTGCGGAGATAAAAACATCAAGGTGGCCATAGCGTTGTGTTTCGCCGCGGCACGTGACAGCTATAGTGCTGGAATAGAAGCACAGGAAACGGCGACCTGCCGCGAAACAGATTTGTTGATTACAATGTTTTGAATGTTGGAAACTACTTGAATATGTGTTTTGACTACATGGCCGCAGCTTTTAATAAGAAAAAGACCAGTAATGCTCTATAGATTACATCATTTTCGGTATTCAAGTCTCCGTCAAAGGATTGTACTAATATATGGATGAAGAACATCCTAAAAAATATTCATTGATTCATTGTCATCACAAGTCGCGTGATAGGAAAAGATACACCGTGGGAATTTCCTCGGCCGATCCGTGGCGCCTATGATTCAAAACAAGTCCCATGCCGCCCGGAAGTTTTATACGTAGTTCGCTTAGTCGCGCATCTGGTCGTCATCATTGTTGTCATCGCGAGACTCGTACTCTTCATCGTCTTCATCATCATCCATGTCATCGAGGCCCTGGGCAGCTTCGGCGTAGTCGACGGCCTTGCCACGAGTGCGACGGCCACCCTGGATGATGTTGCTGGTGTCGATAGGCTCGAGGTTATCCTGTCCATCGTCCTCCTCATCTGGAAATATAGAGAATTAGTAACAGGAAGACTAATTGGCGATAGAGCGCATGTGGCATCGAAACACAGGTTGTGCCATGTAATAGTGGGGATGTGCGTACCATTATCGGCCTAGGGACGCGCATAAAGTTAGCATGTGTAATCAGTGGCTGCAGGTGTTGCAAGCATACCATTTCGTTCTCGCTCTCAGAGGAGCTGTCATCGTCAATGCTCAAGTCCTGAGCAACATCCTTGGACTTCCCCTTCTCGAAAGTGGCATCGGAAGGGTTAGAGAAAGTTGCTTGGTCGCCCATGGTGATTATGAGGGAGGTTATGGAAGATGGTGGGAATGGATGGGGGATGAGAGGGGGTAAGAGAGGTTAAAAGACGGTCTGCAAGTAAGGTCTTCCCCTCGAACCAAAACAAGGGAGTAAGGGCGTGATTCCCCCACTTGATTGGTCGGGCGCACGGTCGATTGCCCCGTGACAAATCGTGCCCTGACTCTACTTTATTCTTCAAGTTTCTACTTTTGAGTCATTTGTCTTCATGTATTCATGCATCTGCACAAAGATTGGCATTGAGGGGCACTTGCTCTCATGCAAGCTGGAGAGCTATCATATTTCATTATTGTATTCTGTGCACAAATCGTGACTGATTCTATCAGCTATCTAGAGCAAAGCAGCGTTCTACGGAGGTGCTATTGTTTCCCCACCATGCTGGCATCGAGATCTGCTTGCCTGCTCCAAAGAAGAAGAAAATAAGCAACATGTTGAGGTTAAATCCAGCATCAAAGGCCGCAGCAATCAAGTAATTATAGCGCTTCCAGACCTCAAAGTGATGGCGGTAGGCACGATACATCACAATGTAGCCACCAATGATGGCAGAGGTATACCCAGTGCTGATATTTCCATAAAACATGGCCAGACCTCCGAAGAAGATGCTCACGTTCCACAGGTCAATGCGCAGACGTGGGAAGAATCGATGGAAACAGTAGAGAATCGGAGGGATCACAGCTCCAACCAGGAATGACCAAGGAAGTGCTGCCATTTCTGACTCGCCAAATAGCCTTTTTGGGCCAAGCACAGCATACTGAACTCCCATTGTGTTCGAGCTCCGCAGAGACTGACCCGTCCACTGGTTCAGTGGGTCGGCTTTCTTGCCAGTCAGATAATCGCCCTTGGTATCCATGATCCAGCGGATGACAAGGTAGTTTATTGGAACACCCATGCAGGTTCCAAAGATTTGAGAGAAGAACACTGCGCGAGGTGGGATATGCATATAATGACCGATCTTCTGGTCCTGAAGCATATATTGTGCTCGATACCAGGCATCACCCGCGATTGATCCATACACAGAAGGGCCACAAGGATGGTGGTGGGAATTGCCGGCTTTTGTGTGAACCATATATCCGTACATCAGTTCGTTGAAGGAACCGGTCTCAAGTTGATAGTTGGAAATGGCGTAGAGCCATGCAAATGGAACCACCAGGATAGCAGCACTTGAAAGTGCCACAAAAAGAGTCCAAATGGGAATGAAGAGATATCCACATGCAATGCTGGTGATAAGAATGACAAAGGACACCAAGAACAAGGTACCATACCACCACCATGGAATCTCTTTGTACTTTCTCTGGATAACGTTGAGGCGATCATGGTACTGGTAGTGGATGCCTTTGTTTTTTGACGACTTTTCTGGATTCTCTGACTTGTTTGATCCAAAAATCTTTCGTAGATTGCCAGAAACCTGGACAAATCCAAACGTCAAGATCCAGGTTACAGCTGCTGGGAGTTTGGCATAGTCAAAGAAAGTTGCCCACACATTCTGCAGACCCATGTACATCGGCCCATACTCCTGGTAAACAGTCTCATTGAGGTTATAATTCGAGGTGAGCACTTCAAGGGTTGGATATGTGGTACCATTGGCCTGCATGAGGCTGTTTGACATGAGACCATGTTTATAGGACCCCAGGTTTCCCCACTTCGCTGCAGGAAGTAGTACCCAACAGTTGAAGGCAAAGGCTAAAAACAAAATGACCTGTGTCCAGAAAGGAGTGAGCATGATGGAGGATCCATTCCAGTTGACATTGGACCAATCCAACGAGAGATTGAGGAAACCCATGCCACCAATTCCCGAGCCAATGAAATTGGCCACTGGGTTGTGAGGTGCCACCCAGCAGAGGAAAGCGAGGGATGAAGTGAAGGGGAAGACATATTCCGGGAGAAATTGCCACAGGGTCATGCCCAAAAGGGCAAAGAAGAAAACTTTCATCTGTCGGCGAGCTAGAGCCGATGAGTTATCTTGCTTCCGAAATGTTTCAAACAGGGTCGTCTGCATCAGGGCTTTGGGCCAGATATAATCGGGGTCAGGGAGGAGAATTTGCCGTGCGAGGGCAGCAAACGAGTACCCAGTCCAGACGATAGCAAGCATGAAGAAGATCGCAACAGCTGGATTGATCCGTTCCCCATACCACAGCTCTGCGAGCACGATTGGAACATAACCGAGATTGTACGTCGCACCTGATGCGGCAGTTAGTGTGACTAACACATGCTCTTTGATACTCCACGGCGCCGGGTTCAAATTGAAAGAGAAGCGCGTGCCGGGTATGCCAATATTCCAAGCCGGGAGGACACGAGCAAGGAAGTGGCCGGCATAATGACACGCAATTTGGACGAAGAAGACAGAGTATGGGGCTTGTGTAGTTCGGAAGTAACTCATTTGGGACAAAAATGCCCCGGGAACCACAAAGACGACCGACAGTACGAAGTATCGGAAGGTAATGGTGGGAAGGGTGGGATCATCTTCCAAGTTGATCAGTTGACGAACAGACAGAGGTAAAGCAGCGATTTCGGGGTTTTCTTCGGTCTCTTGTTCAATAGCAGCAGTTTCCCCTTGCAACTTAAGATTCTCCTCATCCATCGCAGTTTCTGTCACGTCTGGTTTTTTGGAAGACAAAGGATCCACAGCTTCCGTTTTGACCTCGATCGGTTCATCCTTTTGTCGTTTCAATGGAAAGACAGCCATGACGGTGGAGCTGGAGAAATCCAGGTACCAACAAGGGGGGGGGGGGGGGCAAAATGGCTTTTCGATAGGGCCTCCAGGGCCTCCAGGGGGCTCTAGTATTTATACATTAGCATTTATGGTGTGCGACCGAAGCCAAAAATCGCAATCGAGACTACATAATGGATTCCTCTAGACTGTGGATTGTTTGAGGAACAGACCACTTGTAATGCTCAAAATGAGCTCCTATTGGACTGCGAGATGCATCCCGGGGATATGCGACTACTGGAGCGTTACATTGACCACGGACCGACGAGCTTAGTTGGGATAGAATTCCAGCCTAAAGCTTAGCGTAGATGGCGTTATCGAGGGCTTCCTGGGACCTGACAAGGTATTCCTCCGGATATTCCCCGAGGCTGTTGAAGTGTTTGGACAGTGCAAAACACTACAGTAGGTCATAAGAGAGACCAGAGAGGATGATGCACGAGTGATTATTTACCAGTATGGTGATAGAGAGGCGAGAATAACAGCCAATATGTTGTTATACAACCTTTAGCGTTACTGGGCCCGATCACAAGCTACGAATACAATCTTGGCAAGGCTGAACCGTCAAATTGAATCAAGACAAACGGAGCAAATGGAGCAAATGAGACAAACCGGATAAACTAGGAGCAGCAAGTAGCTCCAGTGGTGCCTCAGGCACCATAGAGTCACGTGGTTGATGATGTAATCACGCCATCAGCCCCAGTAGGAGTCACCAGGGAAACCTCGAAAAGGCCATTTGAAAGAAAACCGCCTGGATTTTAACAAGGCTAGAAGTGACAGACTCGGACAAGCGGTGTATTGTATATCAACTGTAGATTTCAACTACAATATACAGTATACAACTACAATATGTCAACGTCAATTCTCCTATCAAATTTTCAGACTACATCATTGAGTATGAATTCATCATGACGTTGAATAATGACCGTACCATACACTCTCCACCGGTCCAGACCTGGTAGTAAATTCGGTATTATGAGTTGAATTGCAATCTAATACACCCGCAATACCATCGAATCATCCCACTAATTACATCATCTGTGCCCCGCCAAAAAAAAACCGTCAGTGAGTCAAAGAACTCCTTTGTCGAGCATTGTGGTCCGTGAGAGCGAGAATCAGGCAGAATGAAGTCATGAGTCCAATCTAGATCCATTTGGACGTCTCAAGAACCCACTAGATGATAGGTGAAAGTCGTAGGGGGGTGTTGCTGGGGCATCGAAGCCCGTGGAATCCCATGGATGCCCGTGGAAGCTGTCCCCTACTAGAAGCTTCTGAGCAATACACCGCTCACTATATAGCAGGTTTTCGCTGCCGTTCCTCACACTCTTCTTCTTTTTCTCTTTCACTTTCAAATACCCCAATCCTCTGTACACTACCTCTACATTGCCTCACGAATTTCCTTTTCCCCCATCTCTTTTTTAACGATACACATTCACAATGGCTCCCGCCGTCGGTATTGATCTGGGAACCACCTACTCCTGTGTGGGTGTCTTCCGTGATGACCGCATTGAAATCATCGCCAACGACCAGGGTAACCGCACCACCCCCTCCTTCGTCGGTTTCACCGACACCGAGCGTCTCATCGGTGATGCCGCCAAGAACCAGGTCGCTATGAACCCCCACCACACTGTCTTCGACGCCAAGCGTCTCATTGGCCGCAAGTTCCAAGACGCTGAGGTCCAGGCCGATATGAAGCACTGGCCCTTCAAGGTCATTGAGAAGGCCACCAAGCCTATTGTCGAGGTTGAGTTCAAGGGTGAGACCAAGCAGTTCACCCCCGAGGAAATCTCCGCCATGATCCTCGTCAAGATGCGTGAGACCGCTGAGGCCTACCTCGGTGGTACCGTCAACAACGCTGTCATCACTGTCCCTGCCTACTTCAACGACTCTCAGCGTCAGGCTACCAAGGACGCCGGTCTCATTGCCGGTCTCAACGTCCTCCGTATCATTAACGAGCCCACTGCTGCTGCCATTGCCTACGGTCTTGACAAGAAGGTCGAGGGTGAGCGCAACGTCCTGATCTTCGATCTTGGTGGTGGTACCTTCGATGTGTCTCTCCTCACCATTGAGGAGGGTATCTTCGAGGTCAAGTCCACTGCTGGTGACACTCACCTTGGTGGTGAGGACTTCGACAACCGTCTCGTCAACCACTTCGTCAACGAGTTCAAGCGCAAGCACAAGAAGGACTTGACCACCAACGCTCGTGCCCTCCGTCGTCTCCGCACTGCTTGCGAGCGTGCTAAGCGTACCCTCTCTTCCGCTGCCCAGACCTCCATCGAGATCGACTCTCTCTTCGAGGGTATTGACTTCTACACCTCCATCACCCGTGCCCGTTTCGAGGAGCTCTGCCAGGACCTCTTCCGCGGCACCATGGAGCCCGTCGAGCGTGTCCTCCGTGACGCCAAGATCGACAAGTCCTCCGTTCACGAGATTGTCCTCGTCGGTGGTTCTACCCGTATCCCCAAGATCCAGAAGCTCGTCTCCGACTTCTTCAACAAGGACCCCAACAAGTCCATCAACCCCGATGAGGCCGTTGCCTACGGTGCTGCCGTCCAGGCCGCTATCCTGTCTGGTGACCAGTCCTCCAAGTCCACCAACGAGATCCTCCTGCTCGATGTTGCCCCTCTGTCTCTCGGTATCGAGACTGCTGGTGGTGTCATGACTGCTTTGATTAAGCGTAACACCACTATCCCCACCAAGAAGTCCGAGACCTTCTCCACCTACTCCGACAACCAGCCCGGTGTCCTGATCCAGGTCTTCGAGGGTGAGCGTGCTCGCACCAAGGACAACAACTTGCTCGGAAAGTTCGAGCTCACTGGCATTCCCCCCGCCCCCGTGGTGTTCCCCAGATTGAGGTTACCTTCGACCTTGATGCCAACGGAATCATGAACGTTTCCGCCGTCGAGAAGGGTACCGGCAAGTCCCACAAGATCACCATCACCAACGACAAGGGCCGTCTCTCCAAGGAGGAGATTGAGCGCATGCTGTCCGAGGCTGAGAAGTACAAGGAGGAGGATGAGGCTGAGGCCACCCGTATCCAGGCCAAGAACGGCCTTGAGTCCTACGCCTACTCTCTCAAGAACACCCTCAGCGAGGGCAAGCTCCAGATCAGCGAGGATGACAAGAAGAAGGTTGAGGAGAAGATCACTGAGGTCATCTCTTGGCTCGACAACAACCAGACTGCTGAGAAGGACGAGTACGAGTCCCAGCAGAAGGAGCTCGAGGCTGTTGCCAACCCCATCATCTCCGCTGCCTACGGTGGTGCCGCTCCCCCCGGTGCTGACGCCGGTGCCGGTGGTGCCCGCTCCGCCGATGAGGTTGAGGAGAAGCCCGAGGAGCTTGACTAAACGTCTCGCTCTAAGTGATTCTTTTTCTTCGTTTGCTGTTTGGCTGACGTTTCCTTTCACGTCTTGTTTTACGAACTTATGGGATTCGGTTTCTTTTTTTTTTTGCGCATGAATGCATAGATACAAGGCTATCGTCTGGGATAAAAAACTCCCATTTGAATCAAAATTTCCTTTTAATTCAACTATTCTCTTTTAGTAGCACTAGTTTAATTCGCCCTTAAACTCTTACCACAGCTTTGACCGTTCGAAGTTGCAAATTGTTGTGTCAGACTAAGCTTTGAGCCATTTGAAGGATCTGAGCCGTGCTGCACCTTAGCCCCTTCCCTACTGTTTCCTTGCACATGCTAGAGTTGGTCATGTTCGTGATGATGTATTTCGTCGATCATATTGGCTTCAATGCAATCCCCGTAAAAAGACGACCAGTTCATGTAGTTTTACAAGTAGAATATAATAAACAGTATTCAACCATTAACATGAATTCCTCCCTCTTGAGGACTTCCAAATCATACCCAGAACTCCGTACCCCAGATCAAATCCTTGGGAGTCCCGATTAAACATCCTGGAAGTCTCCGTTCCACCACCGTTGTAACCGCTGTCCACCCGTCTTCACAACAGTGCCATAGCTGATTTGTGATGCCTGCTCGGGGAACATCTCGCGCTGGTCACGGCGAATACGGGTGAGGGCAGCCCCAACACCCATGGTCAAGGCGAAGAGGGGATCGGCGATCCTGTTCGGACAAAGCATTAGGGAACCTGGTCACATGTGGGATGGGGGGAACCGGGTCTTAGAAGGATCTCCATACCTTGAAATAAGGTAGACAGGCATAATGAGCTGGTCTGTAGAGCTGATGGGCAACTGCGTCCGGGAGTCGTGGATCGAAGAGCTAAGGTAGTCCCATCACGTGATGCCATCATCACTAGCTGTGATAATCGACGACGCTCCATCGCCGCAGTACCACGCATCGCCGCCATGCAGCTCTCTCTCTCTCCTTGCTCCTGCTAGGCATTAGCAGTCTGGTCTCAGCCAGCTCCCTCACAATTACTATTCCCGTCTCCAGTCCCCTTCCCAACCCGCACGTCCTTCCCGCAACCACCCATGCCACTCTCACTACGCTCCCCTCCGGCGGCAAAGACCATATCCTCTCCGCCTCGCTGACCCGCTCGGCTTCATTTGTGTTCCATGATCTGCCATCATCTGGTCTAAATGCTCAACCCGAGTCTTACTTGCTCGATATTCGCTCCGCTGGCGAATACGTCTTTGCCCCTTACCGTGTCGATGTTGCGGCTGATGGAACTATTCTTGGTGTCTGGGAGACTTTCCGGGGAAACCCGTGGGATAACCGCGGTGCCGTGAAGTACATGGTAGATGTTGCTGCGAACAAGCAGGCCGATGTGGTCGTTGAGGCCAAGGTCATTGCCCGCAAGGCCTTCTATGAGGAGCGTGCTAAATGTGAGATGAACATTCCCCGCAACAGATCTCATCGGCGGTATACTCTTCAATTATGCTAACATCACATTGCCCCATAGTCTCGCCATTGAGTCTCGCCAAAAACCCTATGATCTTACTCGCAATTGTTGCAATGGGACTTATGTTTGGAATGCCCAAGCTCATGGAAAACCGTATGCCCGCCAATCTTTTTTTTCTCTCTTTCGGAAGAATGCTCCGTGACTAACTTTGATGCCTAGTGGATCCTGAAACCCGCGCTGAGTTTGAACAGCACTCTCGCTCCTCGCCCATCAGTGGTGCCACAAGCAATGCTATGGCCGGCGGTGGCTTCGACTTGGCCGGATGGATGGCAGGTACTTCTGCTAATCCCACAGCCAACACAGATGCAGCTCAGGGTGGTGTGACTGGTAGGGATACCAGTGGCCCTGCCCGTAAACGTGGATAGATGCCTATCATTAAGTTTATTGACCATATGCAACGTGAATTCATCCTTTGTCTTAAGACCGGTTGTATGATACATTACTATCTAAAGCTGCTTATAGTTCAAGAATTCAGTTGGAACCGAATGCCGTTGAATGGCTAAAGCAGTATGAAAAAAGAAACAAACAAACAAAACAAAAGCAATCCTCTCCAAGCCATATGTGCACAAGCGCCCAGGATCCTCTCAGGCTACATGGAGCCGAATCTCAAGTGAGAAAAAAACCATTTCAAACGTCAAAAACAAAACCAGCTTAGAAATCACCTCCACCAAAGTCATCACCGCCTCCGTAATCATCACCACCACCGCCGTAGTCATTGTTGCCATAGTCATTGTCATCGTGGTGATCCTCGATGGCATCAGCAATCAACATGCCACCGAGCAAACCACCACCAACACCAAGAGCCGCGGCACCAGCGGTTCCCATGCCTCCTCCTGACTTGCGAGGCGGTTGCTGCTGGTAGTAGCCACCACCTTGCGGCGGGTACCCTCCATACCCTTGCTGCGGGTAGCCACCATATCCGGGCTGCTGCTGAGGATAGCCACCGTAATATCCAGCTTGTGGAGGCGGCTGCTGGGAGTACGAGGCGTACTGCTGTTGGGGTCGATGAGGTCGGCTGCTCGAGCTGCTCTTTCCCATCAACTTGCTCAAAAAGCCACCTTTGCTGCGTTTCTGTTCTCGTTCTGGCAGTGGACTTTGCGACGAGGGTCCCGGCGCGTACCCGCTCGGACCGGTAGATTGTGGCCGTGAAGGATCGCTGTAATAGTCTGCCGATGCGCCTGGAGCTCCGGCGCCTCGCATACCACCCCGGGCATCTTCCTCGGCTTGAAGCTTGGCGGCAAGTCGGGCGTCTTCGTCTATGTTGGGGTTCTTGCTGCCTGGTCCAGTGTTCACTGGATTGTAGGGATTGTTTGATCCCATATTAAGCTTCTTGTCACCAGCACTTGCGATGGAAGCTGGGTCACCGGGTCCACCATTACTGTACGATGGTGGAGGAGAATTAAGTGGAAGGTTGTCATCATCGCGATGGGTGGTAATTTCCGGTTTCTCCCATTGCGACTGACCGGTGGCGAGGTTCACATAAAACCTAGTCAACCGTCAGTATTAATATTTGCTGTGTGGTGAGAAACAGAAACATACCATGCGTGATATCTGTCATCGTATTGTGCTTTCCATCCCTCGGGTACTGAGGGCGGGGGAGGCCCGGAAGGCGGGGCGAACGACATGATCTCTCTTTGGAAGAGGTGGTGTAGATAGGATATCAAAGGTGCAGGAATGCCACAGGGGTGATCGAATTCAGAGATAGGAAGATGGATGTAACTGGAAAGTCGCAGAAGAGATCCTTTGGCTGGTTCATTGATATTTAATTGAGGGTGAGCGGCGACGCAACTCGACTGCGCCTCGGTGGCTGTGCGATGATATCATGTGGGAGAGTCATGCTTGGCATCCCCGCTCATCTCCGCTCCGCTCCGCTCTGAACCGACAGATTTGCCATTCAGGAGGGCAAACCCTCACATCCCTTCAAAATACCGGGTGAAAGACAGATCCTGTGATTTCTACGTCAAAAATTTAAGAGCTTGAAAGGTCCCTACGCTATATCATTAAAATCGCTGAAAAAGTTTGAGCTCAATCCGGTTTGATTATCACTCAATACATCCAATTATCATACATCAACACCTAGCAACATGACACGCTGAAATTACCAAAATTATGAATGAACCCCTTGCTAATGCGAGAGAGAAAAAAAGACGAAAGGAGTTGAAGCATCTAGGGGTTAGACTGTCTCCTGTTGAATATTAGGGTTGTAAGTCCCACTGCCCGGCCACCAATAATCTTCTTCAAGTGCCTCTTGGAGTTCGACGAGGTTGAATGTACATGGTGGCCCCAAGGGACTCGAATTCGAGGTATGGCTGGTTGTATCATCATCATCATCATCATCATCTGAGTCACCAGTCAAATCAACGCTCTCATTGTTTTTTGTGACCAACATTTCCAAGATAGATTTCTTCTTCTTTCTGCGATGGCCACGATCTTTCTTATGACTTCTCTTTCTCTTACTTGACATAGAAAGATTCAGTAAAGATGCAGGTGAGGAGCTTGCCTGATAATGACGATCGGCAGAGTTGTCGGCGCGGATGTGGACTGGAATAGAAGAAGTACATCTACCATTTCGAACCTGGGCATTCTTGATTTGGTTCAGGACATCCCGGCGTTGATTTTCATCAAGGGTAGGGCGGTCCTGAACTGGCGGACCATCAAGTTGTTGGTCCTGGTAGTGTTGGAGCAAAGGAATATTCCCCAGTTGAGTATGAGGTGTGTTTGTTTCAACCTGGCGGGCCCACGAGGCGAAAGGTCCAACGTAGGCAGGACCTTGGCCTACACCAAAGATTCCATGTCGTACAAGTTGGCCAGATGATACAAGAGAGTTAGCAACTTCGATACCGTCGACTTGTTCCTCCAGAGGTTCTGGGGCAGTCTCAAATTTGAAACTGGTGTTTTCAGGGTTTCCACAGGGCCCCGATGACAGTACATGAACCCCTGTCCCAGAATCTCCAACGAGAAGGTGAGATTTGTCATGGGAGAATTCAGCGCACATAATCCCTGTGTCGAAAGAGGCAGTATTTTCCAGGAGAACATCATCAGGTGAGCGACGAATATCCCATCGTTTAAGCACACCGTCCGAGGCACCAGTGTAGAATTGATCCACCGAAGCACCCCATAACGCGACCCTAACCCCAACGTCCGCTAAATCTCGATTTCTTTCATGATCAATGGGAACAGCGGGCTCTCCATGGCGGAGCTGATGAAGAATTTGATCGCCCTTTCGATTGTCCCAGACATATGTGACACCATCTGTGCAGCTAGCCGTGACATAAGTGCTAGTCGCATCTGTCGGACAAAAGGTCACCTCATTAATGTCGAGCGCCGGACAGGAAAATTCCATCACAGCTGGCACACGCTTTGAAAAATCACAATTCAGGCTAAAGACGCGCACAATGGACTTGATATTAGATCCAATTCCTTTCATACGTGCACTGTGTGCACTTTCAGGGCTAGCCGTCGCAAATTGCGGCAATGATGAATGCCACTTGATGTCAAAGACATTTTGTGAGTTTGATGTTCGGAGAGGCTCAAATCCTGATTCGCGAGCTTGCCATAAGCCCAAGTGTCCCTTGTAGCCCACTTCCTCGCTAAGATCAGCCATGCCTCCAGCTAAAAATTGATTTGTAGACGGGGTCTGTCCCCAAGCTAAGACGGTTGATGTGAAATTTTCATCTGCTTTGTATCGAGAATCCCGATCAAAGGGGAGCACAGTCGACGTGACCTTTGTAGAATCTCTGGTATCCCAAATTTGGATTGATTTCGTTCCCGTTGCCAGAATGCCAGGATCGATTTTTGAGACAGACATGGCTTCAACTCGAGAGTCATGTTGTAAAGTCTGGACACATGGAGTCGTTTGGCGTGAAGTGTCCCAAATTTTGACTGTCTTATCCCAGCTAGCTGTGAATAGTTTGTTTCCTACCCATTGCATAGCAGTGACGCTCATAAACAGATATGGATCATTCACAGCAGAGTACGTGGGGCGGGGGATGCAATGGTCCGGCAGTTCCTTCAAACAGCTGGTTTGAAGATTCCCAAAGACTAGATTATTTCTTTTGTTGTACTGCATGTTATGTTCGTCGACATCTGCAGCAGATCCTGCTGCGAATTGGGTGCCATCGGGAGACCAGGCTAGCACCAGAAGATCTTTGGAGGCCCCGTTCCAAGACTTCCAGTACTTCAAATCCGATATCATGTCAATATCAACAGGATATTGTCTACCAAGTTCACGGCCAAAAAGAAGTTTTTGGGTATTCCTGCGATGTGGTACACTGCGACTCGGCTGTTGTGGAGGTAGCGTTGAGCACGTATCAATTTGCCTTGACGAGTCGAGATCGATCTCAGATCGCTCTTCGGACCCAATTCTAATACGAGTGTAGTAGTTTGCGGGTTGAGCCCTAGCACGATTGGAACGACGGACAGAGGGTTGATCCATCGGGGAGGCCGATCTTGAGAGGGATGTCGTTGAGTCTGGCGACGCATTATGGAAGATATCGGGGAGAGGCAGTGATCCGGAGGGAGGTCCCAAAACATCATTTTTCACGTTTGTGATTGCGGCTTGTTTTCTTAATTTAGAACGCATTTCGCGACTGTCCCGGTCTTGTGAGATCCTTAAAGAAGGGACGACCGGCGCATGGGAAGAAGCGAATGGGGTCCCATTTTGAGCAGACACGGCCTTGTAGTGGGATGCGATTGAGCTTTTTGATGCACGAGCTGGGAGAACAGTAGATTTGTGGCTCTGTTGATATTCGCTCTGAGGGGCTCCGTGTCCCCGTATATCTTCTACTTGAGGTTTAGGAGAAGATTTTGGTTCCAGGCTTTTGGATTTTGAGCTAGCTGAGAATTGAAGCAATAAACGCAGGGTCTCTCGTTGCACGTCGGGGTTTTCTGGGATGCTTCTGGCTGTGAGGCCACGGAATGCAGGGACCTCGCCATTGATTTTTGGCAAGCTTTGGGACATCATATTCATAGGACTCAAACTAAATAAGACAAGTTAGTCATGAGAAGGGCTGAAAGAAAGAAAGGTCTTATACCTATTTCAGTTCGCGAGAAATCTTGGTTCTCACTCACATCTGGCTTTGGGCAATTCCAGAGTGAGAGAGACATAACATCGGCTCTTTCACTTTGTAAATCAGAAGATTGGTCTTATGTTTCACCCAAAATCCAAGTTTGTAGGCTTCAGTTCTCTTGTCCCAGCACCAGTTTATCAGAATTTGGCATGAAATTATATCAATGTATCGCCTTGGGGTAGGCCTGCTAGGCACAAAAGCGCAAATGGAGAACGGGATGATCGAGAGGTGGGTTGGCGTAAATGTCTAACAGATCAGAAGTTCTTTACTTGGAATCGAGATACAGAACTCAAAAACCGGATTGCAGATTGAAGGCGATATACCAATGCTTGAGTATCTGTGTCAAAGTGAGATACTCGATGTTCTCTAGACAGAAAGTGTGGAGTAATTGAGCAGAATCGCGTCCAGGACGCGATAACGCGGAAGGCTGGGGGCGGTAAGTGAAGGCGGTCAGGAACTATATCATCAACTCAACTTTCATCCAACTTCAGAAAGAGTAATTGAGAATGCGACGAAGCATGTGAAGAAGAATTCAGAGCAGGAACTATACTATAAAATGTAAGATGTTAACCAGTGCATTAGAAGCAGAGAATGAAAAAAGAGTCCTCATATTAAACTACATAGTTGCGGGGTATCACTTGAAGGAAAACCCCCAGATATACATGGGCACAATAATCAACATGTGAAGCACGAGCCTAGCGCACCTCCAAGCAAGTTTCTTGGACCAATGAGTACAGTGATCCGGCGTTGGTTCCTTGCTACCATCTATGGTGAGAAGAAAGGATGGCCTATCATAAAGTCCATATGAACAAGCCTCATAGCACACCATAATATTTCCGGAGACCGGAAAAGGCGGTTGCTTGTTTATTTGCCGATGCGTCCTCTCTTGCGAGCAGAGACCATCATATCATACAAGACATCCTTGAAGGCAAATAGGAATGCAGCAGTAATAGCGCTTTGAGTGACCTTGGGACCAATCCCTATTAAGATAAAATCAAAAATCAGCAAAAAGAATCCGAACATGTTCTGCGGAGTCTTACCCTTGTAAAGGCCTTTCCATCCCTCTTCTTGGATAATCCTCTTCAGGCTTCCATTCAAACTCTCCTTGGGACCATCCTTGCTGGCCACATGCATCCGGCTCTTAATGGTGATATAGGGATAAGTGAGGGTTGTGGCCATGATCTTGCCGAGCGCGCCCAAATAGAACGCGTCTTTTGGAGTCATCCGCCGCCGGCGCTCTACGGCGTTCTTCAATTGCTCGAAAATGGTGTATTGCAAGATAGGGTTGATCACCAAGATCAAAGCCGGGAGGACACCAGCAAATAGGGCCTTGGGGCCCTCCTCCCGAAGCAGGCTCATGAGTGTGCTCAGGGTAGATGCCTTTGTCTGCTTGGCACCGGGAAGGGATTGCTCATCGGCTTCAGACTTGCGGGCAGTCATACGAGTGTTGATAACCCAGATCGGGTTGGTGATTAGCACGGTTGCGCTACCTGCAATAGCACCAGCAATCATAGACTCAACAGTCGTGAGCTTCTTGGATGCTCGGTTTGATTTGATAGCAGCCTTCTCGAAAGCGGAACGAGTAAACTCGTACCAGTAATAGTATACGAAGTTGGTCACGCTGATCCCAAACAGCGCAGACTCTAGGCCTGAGTAAAGTCCGGAGATACCCTCCCTCTGCACAATGCGGCGCACAGCATCAAGGTTGGAGGAGTGTGCGCGCTTCGACTCGACCTGGGCTCTCGTTGACAAAGTGATCAGAGGGTATCTAGAATAATGATGGAGTTAGCGTCATCCATAAGAGTCAAAAGGCGGGGAAGCGCACGTCAAGACCATCGACAGAATTCCACCTCCCGCACCAGACAACGCGTGTGCAATATTATCACTCTGTTGGACAGCAGCGGATGCTGCCGCCTTTCTCTGTTCTGCTCCGGGTTGAGACATGGTAAATGGAAGGAGATGAAGAGCGGATAACAAACGATAGATTACAGAGGGCAGAGCGCAGAGGGCAGAGCGCAGATAGGAGATGGCAAGTGATATAAGGGAGATTCAAGAAAAGACCGAGTAAGTCAAGGAGTGAAAAATAGTTCGGAGTCAGGAGTCAGGAGTCAGGAGTCTACAGCGATAATGATTCGGCTGGGAGGAGGCTCATGACGTTTTGCCGAATGAAGTGTGCCTCGGCTCCCGCCCCAACTCCACCTCCGGCTGTTCTATACGAGTATCAGCATTGAGAATAGGGATGTTTGAGCCCGGGATTGCTCTTTGGCTGGAATCACATGGTATAAAAGGTCTCCTTTTCAGGAGCTTATCGAGATCTGAGACTATGGAGATTTGAAACACGAGGTTGCATGTGATTATATACCATTACCTAGGCCCCCGGGGGCACTACAAAACCACTGTACAGCACTACCCAGTTTATAGCTCAGTTTAATAATTTACGAAAGGCCGTGGGCCAAATTCTCAAGTTCTCGCCATTAGTCCATTCACAAGAAAAATCCAACCTACAATAAGAAAGCGAAAATAGAAAATAAAGAGAAGACACTGGGAGAATGATGGGCCAAGAAAGTCAGAGACGTGGTCAGAAAAGCATAAAAACGCAGAAGCCAGCGATAATCGCATAAGCAAACGCAGAAACGAGGACAAAACGCAGGCCGTCTAAAGCAAAGTAAAGACGAGCAAGAAGTCCCAACGGCACTGTCGAATTTGCTAGTCCCATCAAGGGTTCTCTTCAGGCTCGTCTGGACCATGCCATGTTTCAAAGAAGTCTGACAAGCCTGCCGATCAGGTACCACGCTTGAAACCCTCATTTCATGATGTAACATTGCGCCAAATGGAAGCCCGCACCACATAGAATATCGTGTCGTCTAGCAGCAGCCGCCTGCAGATCCGGACTGGACACCTTGTCCCTGGCCAACCTGAACAGTTGGCTTGTTGTTAACGGTGGCCGTTCCCATGCGCTCCTTGATCTGTCGTGCCATTGTCAAGAAAGCTTGCTCAACATTCGATGCGTTCTTGGCGGAGGTCTCGAGGAAAGGAATTCCGAGGCTGTCGGCGAATTCCTACAATGGTGCAAACACGTTAATATCCCGACTCTGGTATTAGGAACCAATGTTCAAATATAAACGAGAAGCATACCTTGGCCACAGTGTATTCGACAACCTTCTTGTCCTCCATATCACTCTTGTTGCCAACAAGCAGCTTGTTGACACCTTCGGTGGCGTACCGGTCAATCTCCTGGAGCCACTGCTTCACGTTGTTGAAAGAGTCCATATCGGTGACATCGTAAACCACACAGATTCCGTGAGCACCCCGGTAGTAGGAAGATGTGATAGTACGGAATCGCTCCTGGCCGGCGGTATCCCACTGCATAACCGTTAGCGTTTGCCTCAAAAATGGGTTGGATTCAGTCAAGTCGTACGATCTGAAGCTTCACAGTCTTGCCATCGAGTTCGATTGTGCGAATTTTCTATAACAGTCCATATGTCAGCATCTTGTAGGCTTGATACCCCGCAGATTCCAACACGTACGAAGTCGACACCAATGGTCGAGATGTAGCTTTCGGTGTAGGTATCGTCGGCAAATCGGAGCAACAGACAGGACTTTCCAACACCGGAGTCACCGATGAGAAGCAGCTTGAACAGGTAGTCGTATCTATTTCGATGGTTAGGCAATATTCGCAAATCGACGAGTATTGGGGGGGGGGGGGGGCCGGTCGGAGTAAAATTAGGCTGACGCGACGATACTCTAAAAACAAGCACAATCAGTTAGACTCCACGCAGTGAGAATCAGGATCCAAACCGGACTCCTTTGGCGCAAGGGGAATTTGGGGGAATCTCCATGAAGGCTTACCACTCGGGATTCATGATGGGCACAGAAAAACGGTATCGAGGAGAATAAGAAGTAAGTCAAGGCCCGAGTCCAGAGGAATATAGCCAGGAAGAGCAAGTGATGAAAGAGGTCGAAGGGCTAGGTCGGGGGAGGGGACAATGATGGAACAGTCGCCTGAAATGATAGGAGGTGCAGGTGGCCAAAGGCACCTGATGTGCAGCTTTGTTTCACGTCACAACCCAACTCCTTTTGGGGTTAGGAGGATACTATAAAAAAGATAGCAAGAATCTCGATAGGGGGGATTTCCTTGTGGACTTTCGCCTGATTACTAGAAACCTGCTAGAAACAGGCTGGATGATGCCCATGTCACCTGCTTTCCCCAACTGACGCTATCCCGTGCTAGCCTCCGCCTCGTGGGTGGATCTAAATATTTACAGATTACAAGACTACTGTAGTATATCGCAGTTTCTCCCCGCATAGGATGAAACAGATCCAAAGCTAAAAAAAAAAAAAAGAACATATTGGATTCAATAAGAATAGAGCATTAATAGACGATAAACATGACCGCTGAATTAAGCGTAGCCGTGAGCCCGCAGCCATTCGAGAACCAACGCTTCATCGCGCTCCTTATATGATGCATTAGTCCGGATATTATCCGCAACAATGACCAGGGCGCGGTCATAGGCACCAGTCTCCTTGTCCTTGAAGAAGGCCGTGATGTCATCACTGATCTGGTGATCAGCAAACTTGGACAGGCCCATGCGAACGAAACGCTCAAAGACAACGTTATTGAATGACAATCGGGTAGACACAGCAGTCCAGTTGTTCTTGATGTACTGCCACAGCAGGTGGCGGACCTTTGAATTGGCGGCCAAGGACACAGCACCACTGTGGATGTCCTGGACAGCCACCTTGTCCGAAAACACAAAGTCCAGGTATTCCTGCACCAGAGAGTGATCCTTGGTGCGACCAAGAGCAGACAAGCAGATCTCCTTTCCATCGACGGAATCGGTGCGAAGATATTCCTCCTTGACGGACTCGAACTCCTTAAGGCCACCCTCCGACACATTGATGCTGAAGATAGTCGACCGCAAATTGGTATGAATGGCATTGGCATCCTGTCCAGATGCCCAGAGGCCGAAACGGCGTTTGGCCTCTGAGACGAAGCTGCGAGAGTGGAGATTGTATCAGAAAAAAAAAATTCAAAAAGTTTCAGACAAGAAAGTAGGGACATACTCTTTGTGACCTGCATTGCTTGCCATGGCAATCAGCAACTTTCGGAGTTGCACAATGAGGTAGTCTTCGTTGGCCTGGAACTCCCAACCGGTCCGTTCAGCAGCCGGTGAAACCAACTGAAGAGTGAACTTCTTCAGTCCTTCGGCGACCTGCTCATTCTGAGAGAACACCGAGCGGAGATTGGCCAAGGATGAAGAAATCTGAGACCAAACACTATAAATTGCATTGTCAGATGAGATCAACATATGTCAGAGGGGTTGGTTGACAGCTCACAGGTAATTTTGCTCATCCTTGAAACCTTCCAAAAGAGTTAACAGTGCAGGAGTGGTGCCTTCTCCAGAGACAGCAAGAGCAGTTGCATCGCCCAGTAGACCGATCTTATCTTCGGTGCTCAGCAGACCAAGCGACTGGCCAAGCTTGGCTAGATGAGCAGGGGGATAGTTGGTACGATAGAACCCAGATAGGTCCTTGTTGATTTTGTAGAAAGTATCCTCGCCAACTCCACCAACGGTGTCGGACTTTGCGGTGAGAGCACGAGTATCGACAGTGGCCAGATTGGGACCGGACTTGATGCCCAGAGGAATCCACCACTTTGTCTCGTCTTCTTCGGGCTTCGCGTCGCCAGTAGAGAGGAATCTGCTCTGTCGAACGCTGATCTGGCCAGGTTCTTCTGCCACCGTGACAACCGGGAAACCAATCTTGCGAATCCAGGGGTCCTTGGGTAATTCGTTAGATTTCAATCTTGACTTTCGACAGTTCAACACTTACCATGAAAGAATGCACATCCTGACCAGATGCCTTGCTTAAGGCCGACCAAAGGTCATTTGTGGTGGCATTTCCTATAAGAACAATTAGTAAAAAAATGCCAGAGACCTCTTATTCCATGTTTTACCGTATGCATGCGACTTGAGATAGTCCGCAACTCCTCGCAAGAAAGTTTCTCTGCCGAGGTGAACGCTCAGCATACGGATGACAGAGCTTCCCTTCAGGTAACTGATATGATCGAAGATTTGGTCGACTTCAAGTGCGTTCTTGACCGGGACCTCAATCGGGTGGGATGCGCGTAGCGAGTCGAGGTGAAATGCTTGTTGCACACCTTCAGCCTGTGATAACGTCAATATGGGTCTTGATAGGGTGGTGATTACCTCGGGAATTGCGTACGACAAACTGAGACCAAACGTTCCATTCTGCGTGTACGTCAGTTATATAGGATAAGATGCACTAGTTGAAGATATACTTACCTGGGTAGAAATGATCAACGGCAAGCCAGCCAACCCAGGTTGCGAAACCCTCATTCAGCCACAATTCATTCCACCAATCCATAGTGACAAGGTTACCGAACCACTGGTGAGCCAGCTCTATGATATATTTGTCAGCTACTTATGCTGTATTGAGGTTTGGAGGTCGAGAGCGGAATGTGGAGACTAACCGTGAGCTACAACATAGGCGATGCGGTTCTTGTAGCGGTTGTCAGACTTTCCTTCGTCGAAAAGCACAGCGGTAGTTCGGTATGTCACTAAACCCCAATTTTCCATGGCTCCCATTGCCTAGAGATGATACGATTAGCACAAGTCGACTTCAGAAATTGTTAGTGGTCCCTTACAAATTCGTGAACAGCCAGGAGATCAGCCTTAGGAAGCGGGTACTCAATCTCAAAGACCTCGGAGAAATAATCGACGGTGCGGTGAGCACACTCCAGGGCAAAGCGAGCCTGGTCCTTGAGGCCCCGTGTAGTATAGACGCGAACAGGAATGCTCTTGCCCTGGTACTTACGCTGGGTCATGGCCTCAACATATTCAAAGTCACCAACTGCCCAGGCCAAAAGCTGCACGTAGAGAGCTTGCGTTAGTGATTTGAAATCATAGTAGCTTATCGACCCCGGGTTGTACTAACATAGGTGCTCATCACGGGGGTCTTCTCAAACGTCACAAACTTCAATCCCGAGTTACTTCCATCTCTTTCCGACTGAACAGGCATGTTACTCAGGGCCGTCTGCCCCTTGGGAATTTCGATCTCAAAGTCAAAAGTAGATTTCAAGTTCGGTTCGTCGAAACAAGGGAAAGCTCGTCGTGCATCACATGATTCGAATTGAGTGCTCAGCATGTAATAGAAGTCGTCTTCCTTGGGAGTATCGGCAGAGGGCTCTCCAACGGGCTTATACTTTGAGCGGTAGAAACCGGACATGGCATTGTTCATAGTACCGGTGAAATTGATCGACAAGACAACGTTTGCTGGTGCGATTTCTTGCGAGAAAGCAAAGGTGACACGCTCCGACTTCTTGTCATAGGTAATGCTGGACGATTTGGCCAGCTGACTGCCTAAGTGACCGACTAGCGTCAGTATTTCCCTGCATACCATGTCGACAATGTCCGTCCATGCATACCGTCTTGTCCCAGAATCTCAGCAGTCTGCACTTCGATCTCCTTCGAGTTCAATACGATCTCGCTAGTAGGGCGAGTGACCTTGAGATCAACCTTGACGATTCCTTTGTATTCCCACGAGCCACCGAACTGCAAGTCGAAGAGGGAGACATGGTAGTTGACCGGCTTAGCACTGTTACAGTGTTAGCACCTTGTAAAAGACATACTGTCAAGAGATACTGAGAGGTCAAACATGGCTGTAGGAGACGGAGTACCCTTCAGACAACACCAGTGGCAGTGGGTATTCACTCACACGTCAGGCAGAGTCTCTCTCTCTTGGGACGCCATCATGCGGGCTTCGGCGGAACAATGTCTAATAGGAGTGAAATTGAGGTTTATCCTAGTAGCTGGTGCAGATAGACGAGGGCGCAAGCGAGAGGAACGCAAGTAGAGATGTGAGGAAAAGAGAGAAGAGGAGGGGGAGGGGCGGAGAGAGACTGGACGGACGGCTTCAACTGCTACGCCAGCTCGCCTCGCAATGGATCTTCTCCCCCACATCGGTGGGTTTAGCCTGACAGTCTACGGCTATCGTCGGACTGAACACGCACACCAAAAAAAAAAAAAGAAAAACAATCGCACGGTAGAAGGACAGAGGAACGGAAAGAAATAAAAAAAAGGCGCTTCTCCAAACGGAGCTCCGTCGGAGCTTGGACCCATCTTCGACGGGTAACGATTCCGCCTTCTTCACACCTCTGCAACTATGGCCGACTCCGACGAGGAATATGTGGGCGATGTAACAGAAGATGAGGATGACCTTCAGGTGAATCGAGGCGACACGCGGGCCAGGAAAAGAAAACAGCGTGGAGGCGCAGAATGGGAGCTATCCAGAACCTGGGAGACTCTTGTGGAGGGTGCGGATGGAACCATCAATTCCACCGTCGAGGGCCTTCTGGAGGCGGGCAAACGGAAAAGGTGAGCCTAGTTGATCTATTCGCATCTCATGACTAACTTGGTTCTCATTGCGCAGGCTCTTGAAAGATACGACACCACTGCAGCGCGGGATCATTCGACACCTCATCCTCGTAATCGATCTTTCACAGTCCATGTCCGAGAAAGATCTACGACCGACACGGTACCTTTTAACGCTCCGATATGCCCAGGATTTTGTGAGAGAATTCTTTGAGCAAAATCCCATTTCCCAGCTCGGCGTCCTCGGACTGAGAGATGGTCTAGCCCTTCGCGTCAGTGATATGAGCGGCAATCCCACGGAACATCTCGCGGCCATCCAAGCGCTAAAAACACAGGACCCCAAAGGTCTCCCTAGCCTTCAGAACGGGTTGGATATGGCACGTGGTGCGCTTTTGTAGGTCCCCGAGTCTTAGCCGCCTTGCTGAACAAAACTAATCCATGAATGTAGCCATACCCCAAGTCATGGCACTCGTGAGGTGCTGATCATCTTCGGCTCTCTCCTCTCCTCTGACCCCGGGGATATCCACCAGACAATAAGTACCCTGATCAGCGATAAGATCCGAGTTGGGATCGTCGGTCTTGCCGCGCAGGTTGCCATCTGCCGTGAGCTCTGCACCAAAACGAATGGCGGGGACGAGACAGCGTATGGGGTGGCACTGAACGAACAACACTTCCGGGAGCTGATGATGGACGTAACGACACCCCCTGCTGCTTATTCGCAAAAGGAATCTGCGAGCTCTTTACTAATGATGGGGTTTCCGTCTCGGACGGTGGAGTCTAGCCCTTCTCTCTGCGCATGTCATTCGAAGCCCTCGCGAGGAGGCTATCTCTGCTCACGATGCAATAGCAAAGTGTGTAGCCTCCCTGCAGAATGTCCATCCTGTGGACTTACATTGATTCTCTCGACTCACTTGGCACGCTCGTATCATCATTTATTCCCCTTGATTAACTGGGTCGAAGTCCCATGGCGTCGAGCCTCACAAAGTTCTGCTTGCTTTGCCTGTGGGATTTCTTTTCCGCCGGTACCTCTAGAGGATCAATGGCAAGTGACCGAAACCCATACCAAGGGAATGAGTGTGAGCAGTCGCTACGAGTGTACAGCGTGCCGGAATCATTTTTGTATCGACTGTGATCTCTTTGCACATGAGGTTGTACACAACTGTCCTGGGTGTCAAAGTAGAAGTGCAAGTCTGCACTCGGCACCCAAGGTAACGACTGAAGGCATGGATACCACAATCTAATGTCGATGATTATTTCAAAACTGCATGGGGTTGGCGTCACTCGTGGGACATTCCATAGATCTTTTTAGCCCAATGGGCAATATGGAGTAAGGGGTCGGAGCTTATAGAAATCCTCCAGATTACAGAAGCGAAGCAATATATAAAAGGTCTTAAGGACCCCCAAGTCTATCCTCCGTAGTCGGTAAGTCGATCAGTTATAAATTATAGCATAAGTTCAGATCAACGGGCCTCGGTTAGCTTGAAGCCCCACGCATCCTCCGCATCCTCCGCATCTCAGCTCTTCTTCAAACATACATCTCCCCAACAATGGCGCAACCTTTAATTCGGGACTTTGAGCGACTGCGGTCATATTCTTTCCATACAGATCCCGAATTTGCCAATGGTCTCTCAATCATACTCGGTCACCCCAACACCCCCGCCACTGAGGCGGAGATGAATCAGGATGACGACCTTGTTTTACAAGCAAAATGTTTCTTTTTCTCACGGTGCGATAGACATTTTATGGCCTATAAGGGCTTATTCCGAGGCTAATACAACCCCGGAGATATAGAAAAGAAAAACTCACCCCAGCTATCGACTTTGCTGCATTCAAGTCATGGTTGTCGACACAGTCAAAGGAAAAGTCCCAAGCTCCAGACAGTCCAGAAATCTCGTCGCAGGTATCTGCTGGTGTGCCTACAGAACAGAACATAGCAAATTCAACCAATGCAGAACCCGCGTATCCGTCGTCCTTTGCACACATCGTGGAGCTGATCACAACTGGACAACCAATCCCTGGAATCCAAGATATACCAGATACAGTGTTGACTGGTCATGATATCTCGAGTGAGAAACCTCGACGGCGAAAACCCTGGGAGAAGGAGGAACTGGAAACTGCTCCTAATGAGACTGCAGCTGGCGCTCCTTGAGCACTCGGCGATATTGATATGACATTAGAATATTGGAATATCAATGTTATTTTCTCTGTAACTAGCATGACACTCTGGAAGCTTTTATCCATCCGACTGGGTAACACAAGGATGATTGAGAATAGCAAGCCAAGTAATAAATGGGCAAGCAGGGAGGACTCGCAAGATTAATGAGCACTTGGATTTAACAATATTGAATGAATGCTGGCAGGTAACAAGGCAAAGCTGCTGGGCTTTGAAGTAGGGGTAAGATAATTGACGCATTCAATAAATCATGCCGGCTGGTTTTTTTATCCTTTTTCTTTCTTTTCTTTCGTTTTCCTTCTTCGTAGGCGACCATTGGGCTTTAAGAGGCAAATTCAATGGACGGGTGCATAATTGGGACCCCATTGATTTCCACGACCGAATCGACCACTGGACTGAGTTGTGGTAGAGAATTTGTCTTCGTTGAAGTTGTTGAAGCGGCCGATTTGCATACCGGCACCAGGACCTGGGCGTGTAGCATGAGATGGGTTACAGCAAAGCATGGCCACACGAGAGCCAAATTTGGAGCCCCGAAGGGACACCATGTGTTTTCTGATCATAATCATGTTAGTCTTGAAAAAGAATTAATATTGGACATGGAGTAGATAGTACCTGATATGACTAGCCACAACCTCTCGTTGGTGAGATGGAGCATTCATCAAAATCCATTGAATAAGATAATTGCCGTACTGATCCCCCGCTACTATAGACAAGTTAGTACTTTTTTATTCGTTCCGACTGCACAAAATTTGAATAACGCACTGTCAATCAACGGCATACGAGGTCGGTCAGAGCGCCCGGTGCAGACGCGAGTGAGATACCGGTCCATGAACTCCGTCCCACCGATTTTGAGGCACTTTTCCACAATTTTAGACGCGAACTGATCCATGCTGTAATCAACAGCCCAGTGGAGAACATGCTCCACAGCTCGGCTCTTATCATGGGGAGCACCGTGCTCACAGATGTGTTGGATGCACCAGTTTCCGAACTGCCCATGAGCGAGCACGTCGGTCTTTGCCAACACTTCTTCGATTGCCGGTCGCTTTCAATCATTAATTAGCATTCAGCAGAAAAAGTATCACATGGAAAGAGACTCTCCTTTGGTATAAGAGGCTCAACGGGACTTGCAAACTCACCTTTTCATCCTCGACGCAGTTTTCAAAGATGTTTTGAACCACCAAGCTTCCAGTCTCCCCCAGAGCAACTTCATGCCACATCCCCTGTAGAGCCTCGTTTACTTTGATCATAATCTGTGGAGGCTCCCCACTCCATCGAAGCTCAAAGAGCTTTTGCCAAACATGACAGGCATATCGATGGATCACGGTCTCGGGAATTTGGCGGAGAAGTTCATGCACCATGACAGCTTTATGCTCTTCTGGAACACAGTCAAAAGCCTTTTGAATCACGTGGCAACCGAATGGATCCATGCTCAGAGTGAGCGTATTTCCGCTGATTGCATTGGCAATGGCAACAACCTGCTCGGGGGTTCCATGCTCAAAACAGCGTTGAACAAGAAAATTTCCAAAGCGATTGACCATGAGTAAGTAGGCTTGGCGAACGATCGCCTCAATAATATCATATTTCTGTTCGGTAGTGCCGACTTTCAGTTTTTGTTGCAAGAAGATGGACGCTTGCTGGTCATTACTGCAGACTATCTTGTCTACAATATACTTCCAGTCACACGACACATTCTTGTCAAGGAGCCGTCGGTAGTTGAGAGGCTCAAGCGGCGATACATATGTTTGGATTGAATTGCCGCTCACCTGGAAACCGTCAGAGGAAGTCAAAACGAGCGATGGACAGTGGTCGAAATTCTTACCGTAGAAGTAGACCAAGAGCTATCATTAACACTGGAGCCAGTGAACTCACTGGCAGTAGGAGAAAGAGGGCTTCCAATTGCCCGAGGGGGATAAGAAGGCACTGGGTAAAAGCCCGCCTGGTGAAAGGTACCGACAGGTTTCTTTTCGGGCGATTTGGGTGACTTAGGGGTATGATCACTAGAAGATGCAGAGGAAAGATCACTCCAAGGATTAGACTGAGGTGGAAACAGAGACCCAACTCGGCTGCATTGAATGTTAGAACGACGAGGTCCAGCAATTGAGCTTGTTAGAATCTGCGTCTGGTCGCCGATGGGGCGCGAGTAGAACCCACATGGACTAATCGAAGGCCCTGAAAGGATTCGCTGAGACTGCAAAGACGAAGGTCCCGTGAGCGGAGGATAGACATCAGAAGTGCCCCAAAAGTGGCTTGGATCCTGGCTTGAAGAATTGTTGGAAGCCAAAAAAGGCACACTGTAGTCCCTGTCAAGAGGAAGCTCATGGCGGGCCCACGGCCCGCGAGCTCCACCATAGGACCCTCCAGACAACGGGTCCGAGATGTCAGACTGCGAGTCGTCTTGACCGACCCAAGAATCTTGGTGTTGACCGAAGGTGGAGCTGGACCCGATGAAGATGTTCTGTAGGGAACCAATACTTGGTTCTCTAATCTCATGACTGTTGTAATCTGCTTCCGATGGAGGACCAAGGGCTTGGTCTAGCGTATGCTTTATCACCCGAGTCTGTGCAAGCTCTTGCTCCTGCGAAGCTATTTTTGAGTTTGCAACCAGCAACTCTTGCCTGAGACGACGCAACTCCCCTGTGCTATCCTCCTGGTTGTGGGTCTGGTGAGAATCTGTGGGATATGAAGCAGGTGGTGGTTTCAAAATCGAAGTGGTCTGGGATATCCCAGAGGAGGGATCGGCATCGGAGCAGGTGGGTTGGAGGGTCTTGGGAGAAAGGCTTGCTAGAATTCTCTCAATATCCGACGGTTGTCCACTCAAAGGTTCAGCTTTGTGATCTAGCTTCTGCTTCTGGGATTGTGAGATCACTGCATACGAAGTTGGTACCATGCTAAACACTCACCTTGCTCAACAAAGGGTCTTTCCCTTCACCAGACGAGACCGGCATTCTGCCATGACGAGAAACTTCCTTGGGGTCAGAAGCGCCGTAACGGGTGGTTGTGGCTTGGTGTTTCTGTAATGAGTAGGGGAGTCAGTACACAACAAAGCCATTCCACACCCATCAGATGAGCAGGACTGTACCGATGGCTCGTTTCCAAAAGGGCAAGCTCGCACCTCGATGTTATCAGGGGGGACAAAGCGTGTTTCACGACCAAGCGTTGAAGGCCCGCTTAGAGACGACATACTGACAACCAGCAGAGGCGAACACAGAAACAGAATCAAACGAAAGAAAACAGAGAACGAATGAGAAGAAGAATAATAACAGAACAGACAGAACAAGTGAGAAAGCCGCTGGTGTGAAGGTTGAAACGACCAGGTTTGTTGGAACCAAGTGAGTTTACATACAACGAAAAGGATTCTGGGAAGATTCTCACGAGATGACAGTCAAGATTTGGGGATTTCAGGAGATAACGTTGAAGAGTATGGGAAAACAAAAGGAGAGAAGTGGGAGGGCGAGAAGGAAATGAGAGCAGGAGGAAGAAGAAGATCAGGAAGGTACACGAGGCAAAGCTGGAAACAGCGATGAACATCTACAGCTTTAGGAGTCTACGGGAGTCCAATAGACAGCACAATCCATGCCTTTGAAGTCATTCTTCCGGTTCTTGAACTAGCGTAGGCCTTCCAAGTTGGTGAGCTCCGAGTATATTGAGGGTAGACTGATCCGATTGGGGGGGGGGGGGGGGGGGGTTGATACCCATGATTGATATGCACATGTATATCCAAGGCCAGGGAGAGAACGAAAGAGCCCAATGTTCAATTGGGAAGATGGGAATTGTAACATTGTTGCTCAAACAAGAGAACTATATCCGATCCCATCACGTGATGGTTGAGAGTCCAGCAGTGAAGCATGAAGATATCAGATTCCACGGCAGTTCGGGTATGGAAATCTTACTGGGGAAGTGGAACAGGACTGCGGAGGTCGCCGATTACCTCCAGGTCTTGGTCGCCGTTGTGAAAGCAATCGAATAGTTATCCCTAACATCCATCACCCATCTAGAATTACTGTCTCATCGCTCCGGCCATCGTGTCCGGAAGCGTGTGTCCTTCATACTCGACGCTTATTCGCCCAGGGAGATTCGTCATCGGCCCAGTCCACCTGGGCACCCTTTCTCAACCCCCCAACTCCAACCTTGGAAACCTCCCCCGCCCCCCATTCTCAGAATCTCAGGTCCCTTGGTAAGTGAGCTTGTTTTTTTCCCGCGCTTGCGTTCTTATTTTCTCAATCGTGCAGAATATGGCCACAACCACGGTGACCGGTCATGGCCGACGCTCCTCCATGCGACAACCCGAACTCCAAATACCAAAGTCCTCCGCCTCCCAATCTACCAGCAGCCCCATTGATAAATTCCCGCCGTATGAGGAGACAATTGAAACTGTCGCGGGGTCCCCTCGTCCAAACCGAAGTGCTTCCGTGAAATATGCCCCAGATGAACTCTGGGAACCCCGGAAAACTAGTTTCTATTCGCGAGACCAGGCCGGGCCATTGAGAAACCCCAAGCATCGCCCACGAAAGAGTATTAGCGAGGCCATATCAACCATCAGAACGCGCAACGGCAGTATGAGTGCCAATGCCCACGAACTGGCCGAAGCTCTACGTGCGCCAGTATCCTACCGATTGACTGTATGTGGTTTCATGAACGAATTGGCGGGTCTCCATTGCGCTAACATACCCCAAAGGCGCTGTGTGTCATTTGGTACTTTACCTCGGCCCTGACAAACACGTCCTCGAAATCTATCTTGAACGCCCTCCCTATGCCTATTACCCTAACCATCATTCAATTCGCATTCGTCTCCTTTTGGTGTTTGCTGTTGGTATATCTTTCGACAATATTTCCTCGATTGCGACAAAGTATCCCAGTACTTCAACATGGTATCCGTTATCCATCCCGCGAGGTCATTTCGACTGCCTTGCCTCTGGCGGTATTTCAACTAGCCGGTCATATTCTCAGCTCCATGGCTACGGCGCAAATTCCCGTTTCCCTGGTGCATACTATCAAAGGTCTTTCTCCTCTTTTCACAGTTCTGGCATACAGGATATTGTTTCGCATTCGATATGCGCGGGCAACGTATTTATCATTGATCCCACTTACCATGGGAGTGATGCTGGCCTGCTCAACCGGGGTTTCCACAAATTTCTTTGGCATCTTTTGCGCATTTGCCGCAGCTATCATATTTGTCTCGCAGAACATCTTTTCAAAGAAGCTTTTCAACGAAGCAGATCGTGCGGAATCAGAAATGCAAAACCCCGGGCGACGCAAGCTCGACAAACTCAATCTTCTTTGTTATTGCTCTGGGCTAGCCTTTTTCCTGACCCTGCCTATTTGGTTCGTCACCGAGGGTTACCCGTTGGTATCTGATTTCATCAATGATGGTGTCATCTCGCTCTCTGAGAAAAAAGGGTCACTGGACCACGGTGCACTGCTCATCGAGTTCATTTTCAACGGAGTTTCACATTTTGCACAGAACATCTTGGCTTTTATACTTCTGTCGATGATTTCGCCCGTGTCATACTCGGTCGCGTCCCTGGTGAAACGCGTCTTTGTGATTGTGGTGGCAATTGTGTGGTTTGGGAGCTCGACCACGTCGATTCAAGCATTTGGCATTTGTCTCACCTTTGTGGGTCTCTACCTTTACGACCGCAACAGCCATGACGATGCGGCCGACCAAAAGGCAAACGCAGATCACTTCCGTGCCCAAAAGTCCATCCTACCAATGAATGTGCGACACTCGAGCAAACCGTGGGATTCGAATGGCTATGCCTTCCCCGCAGGTAGAAACTATGATGTATCCAACTTGAACAATTCACACGCGGCGGCAAACACCTCCAAGAAGGAGGATGATGGACCAGGACGTGTACGACCCAGAGGAGCTAGCGTTTCTCGCACATGGTTGCCAGGAACAAAACAAGAGTCTACTTGGCAGGTCAGTGATTCCCAAGCAGCAGCTTAGCACCCATGTTTTATTTCTTCAATGTACGATATGATGGCGTTGTGGCGTAGTTCGGGGAGTGAACGTTTAATATCCCCTTGTCTTTTGACCCATCTGGGTTGCTTCCTTTGACAAAGACACATTCTTGTTACCCAGTCGGTGATACATCTGTCAAAACAATACAAAACTGAACCCCAAGTTTACATAAGAGGTGACTTGGTAATGTTAGGTGTCGTCATTTCTTCCAGATGTATTCAATTGATAAACTAGTATAATAAGGACTTATCAAAAGAGCTAAGAATTCAGAGTGATGTAGCTACCGTCGGTAAGGAACAAAGTCATCATTAGGCGAACCCTTGACAGCTCCAGCTACGGCGCAGTTCTGCTCTTGGGACATACTGCAGAGGAAAAAGGAACAGGAAAAGCCGGTCTCCTACAATAAATGATGCCCGTGAAATGAGATTATATGGAAAGAAAAAGTATTCCAGGGGGCCGAACGGGCTGGTTTTGATGAGAACCCGGAGCAAAGGTTTATCCGTCTAACCGAACCAATCCGCGTGAATCCATTTGCGTTGTCCTTAGTCAGCTCTTGAGATGGTCAGCACCCCCATTATGTAACCGCAGATTCCGATGCAAAGTGCTCTGCTCTGACCTCCCAACGTTTCTACCCCCTCGCCCTCCTTCACTCTATTTCCCATCCTCCCATCTCCTTTTGTACTCAATGATGCGGCCGCAGCTGTTCCGTGCGGCCGCCCGGTCACTCCGGGTACCCAAGGTCACCCCCAGGGCCTTCGCGACGACAGCCCTTCGCGCGGCCGAGGTGGAACTCACCATTGGTACGCCTACTCCCCCGGCCTAGTCCATCCAGATGAATTGATGACTGACAATTTGTTCTCCAGATGGCAAGAAGGTGTCGGTAGAAGGTAAATTCTCAACCTTGGCAATACATTGGGCCATTACTCACGTCTCCCCTTCTAAGCCGGTTCGGCTCTTATCCAGGCCTGTGAGCAGGCAGGCGCAACAGTCCCCAGGTAAGACAATGACTAGCCAATTGACTTCCTTATTCGAGTGCTAACCATTTATTAGATATTGTTATCATGAGTATGTGCCCTGGATCAAGCCACACATAATATTCCGAGCTAACTTAGTGTCCTTGAAGAAAACTCTTGGTTGCAGGAAACTGTACGTGGAACTGATGTCCTCCTTTCCTTCACACACAAGCAGACATATTAATCAAACTTACAGGCCGTATGTGTCTCGTCGAAGTTGAACGTGCCCCGAAGCCAGTTGCCTCCTGTGCCTGGCCAGTACAACCGGGTATGGTGGTCAAGACGAATTCCCCACTGGTTCACAAGGCTAGAGAAGGTGTGATGGAGTTCCTCCTCGCCAACCATCCCCTCGATTGCCCCGTTTGTGATCAAGGTGGAGAGTGTGATCTTCAAGACCAGTCGATGCGTTATGGTGCCGATCGGGGTCGATTCCACGAAACCGGCGGAAAGCGTGCTGTGGAGGATAAAAACATCGGCCCCTTGGTCAAGACTTCGATGAACCGGTGTATTCACTGCACTCGCTGTGTCCGATTCATGAATGACGTTGCCGGCGCCCCCGAGCTGGGAACTGCCGGACGCGGAAACGACATGCAGATTGGAACCTACCTCGAGCAGAATCTCAATTCGGAGTTGTCAGGCAATGTCATTGATCTGTGCCCAGTTGGTGCGTTGACGTCGAAGCCTTATGCCTTCCGGGCACGTCCGTGGGAGCTGAAGCACACCGAGTCGATCGATGTCCTTGATGCTCTCGGCTCTAACATCCGGATCGATAGCAGAGGTCTGGAGGTTATGCGAGTTGTCCCAAGATTGAACGACGATATTAACGAAGAATGGATCAATGACAAGTCGCGATTCGCGTGCGATGGACTGAAGACCCAACGGCTCACCACGCCGCTTATTCGCCGAGAGGGCAAATTTGTTCCTGCAACCTGGGAGCAAGCTCTTATGGAGATCTCTGCGGCCCACCAAAAGCTTCAGCCACAAGCCAATGAGTTCAAGGCTGTTGCCGGACACTTGGTTGACACTGAATCGCTTGTTGCCATGAAGGACCTAGCGAACAAGCTTGGCTCCGACAACCTTGCTCTCGATCAACCCGGTGGCAGCGCCCCTATTGCTCACGGTATTGATGTCCGATCCAACTATCTCTTCAATTCGAAGATATATGGCATCGAGGAGGCAGATGCCATTCTTCTGGTTGCGACCAACCCCCGCCATGAAGCTGCAGTTCTCAACGCTCGCATTCGCAAGCAGTATCTTAGATCCGATCTTGAGATTGGTCTTGTTGGTGAGGAGTTCGAGAGTACCTTTGACTTCGACCATCTCGGTGCCGATGTTTCTTCCTTGAAGACTGCCCTGTCCGGAGAGTTTGGCAAGAAGCTTGCTGCCGCCAAACGGCCAATGATCATTGTTGGTAGCGCTGCCGCCGAGCACCCTGACTCCAAGGCAATCTTCGAGACTGTCGGCGGCTTTATTGAGAAGCATGCTGACACCTTCATCACCCCTGAGTGGCAAGGATACAATGTTCTCCAGCGCGCCGCGTCTCGCGCTGGCGCTTACGAAGTTGGCTTCACTGCGCCATCCTCCGAAGTTGCTCAAATCACACCAAAGATGGTTTGGCTCTTGGGTGCCGACGAGGTGGCCCAGAGCGAGATCCCCAAGGACGCATTTGTCGTTTACCAAGGACATCATGGTGACCGCGGTGCGCAGCTTGCTGATGTCGTTCTGCCAGGTGCCGCCTACACTGAGAAGTCCGGCACATACGTTAACACAGAAGGCCGTGTTCAGGTTACCCGTGCTGCCACATCACTCCCCGGTGCTGCTCGTGATGACTGGAAGATCATTCGTGCCACTAGTGAATTCCTTGGTGCTCCACTGCCTTATGATGATATCGAGGCTCTCCGAGACCGCATGGAGGATATCAGCCCTGTGATGCGTCGCTACGACGTTGTTGAGCCAGTTTCCGTCGGCTCGTTGAGCAAGGTTCAGCTTGTGGACCAAAACAAGGGTTCTTCGGCGACTGGAGCTCCCTTCAAGAAGGTTATTGAGGACTTCTTCTTTACTGATGCTATCTCCAGAAGGTTAGTGCCCTTAATTTATGTTGGATTATGTTGCATTGCTAATTATGTTTCAGCTCGCCCACCATGGCTCGTGCCTCTGCTGCCAAGGCTACTGGAAACCCTGAGACCAACTTCATGGCCGCAGGAGAGATGTCTCCCCAGGCATTGTACGGCTAGATCAGGGTCGGAATGACCTGATTCTATGTTTCTCTAATGGTTGCAGGCGTTTTCGTTGTACCACATCTTAAACTTCCCTTTTGATGTACTGTTTTCTTTCCATCTTCTGCGCTTTTTTTTCTATCATCTCGAACACCCTTCCGGTTCCGGTTGACCTCCTCGCTCTTCTCCGGTGTCGCCGGGGATTAATCGGTAGTGGCTGGCTTGTACATAAAAAGATTGAACCCCCCAAATGTCAATTCGATGGGCATTTGAGATGATATTATGACTCACATTTTCTCGCGTAGACAACTTTCGGGCTGTGTTCTATTTCTATCCAAGCAGGTGATCTACTTTCGCCCTATGATACACTAGGACGAAATTCTGCATACTCAAGGTGTACGAAAGTGCAAGCTGGAGTATATGTAGTTATGAAAAGACTGCACTGTTCACATGCTTTGCTTGTTACGAATCCAACTCTGGCAAAATGCCTTCCTGGGATGTCATACTCCGTAGATTCTGCTCATCTGAAAAAGGCTACTTGGATGATTTTAGGCCCACTCACAGTTCATCGTCATCAGTTTCCCCGGCTGTTTCTTCTGCATCTTCGTGGGTCATGGTTGAGGAGGACTTCATGGCTGCTCCTCCGGTTCTTCTGATAAACGGGAGCTCTCTTCGAGGAGGAGCCGTGTCCCTTGGTTGCGGTACAGATTTCACATCGGCATAATCATCTGGAGACGAATCATCATCTGTCGTGTTGTTTTTCTCCTCTTCCAGACGCTGAGGAGTTGAGCGCTCGTGGTCTCTATTTTGATCATTGATGGCTTCTTGATCGGCCTGCTCCGCATCGATATGCATCTTTTCAAATCCATCGGAATCCTCCGACTCGCTCAAACTATGAGCGCTTCTTTTTGTCGAGTGGGACTGTTCACCGACATCGTGCTGCTCTCCAGGTAGAGTCTTTTCAATTTCGAAGACTACCGGGTTTCAGTCAATACGGTAAACAATCTCAAGTCTGCGGTTGGCTGTCTCACCTTTGGTTGGATCTGGAATTGCTGATGCCAGAAGGCGTTGTTGGTTGCGAATCTTGAGCTTTTTCTCGTTCAAAAGCTGCGTGAAATTGGCTACCAGTTGGGTTTCGTGTTGATTCTTTGCCTGCATGAGTTCCTCGAGCTGCTTGTTTAATTTGTGTATCGTGTCCTCGGCCACGCGATAACGAGAATTCAAGCTGGAGACTTGTTGCTCCAGTATGTCAGCTCGAGCAGCAGAAATTCCATTCCACTCAAAGAGTTCAATGGCTTGCTCGTCGTCTTGTTTCAATACGAGTGTACCAAGACGTTGCTAGAGTGACGGTTAGTTGATCTGTATATATATGCGGGGGAACACGCACCGTGATAGTCTGGACTCGCTTCCGTATAGTGATCACGATTTGCTGGTCTTCCTCGGAGTCTGAAACAGTGGCCAGAGCTTCAAGGCCACTGGCCCATTCCAAATCGCCCAAAGGAGGAGAGGATTGTCCCAGAATCAGAGACAAAGTGTTGAGCCAGTCACCCTCTGACCCTTGGTAATTCTTTGCGCGAAGATCCGTCAGATGTGCTTGCTTCACTATACTAATGGTGTGAGTTGGGTGAAATCTTCAAGTTTCATTAACAATGACCCACGTAGGCTAATGTAGGGCAGTTCTCCTTCCGTTGCTGTCAGAGTTAAATCAAGCGGCGCAGAGCCGTGCTGCAAGACATGGACGAGCACAAATGCTCCAGTCTTGTCGGATCTAGGGAACCGCAACACTCGGACTGGGGAAGACATTGAGGCGAGAACAATCCGAACAAGCCTTGGGAGATGAGTGTTGGTTATGTAGAGACCCCCAGCAAGCAAGAGGAAGAAAGCAAGAGAGGAAAAGAGAGGGAGAGAGGTGAGAGATATATAGCTCCAGGTACCAGGGAGGCAGGTAGCTGTTACCTGCGCCCCCACCCACTTCCCAGTAGATAGCTAAGGTATTGGGTACTCCCTGACCGAGGTTTTGTTTTTGTTTTGTTCTGGGGGTTTCGTGGACTGCCTAATTTATGTTTACCTGGAATGGTGAATGGTGAAAAAAAACCGTAGAATCGTAGAATTCAGTAGTATCTCGTCTCTTGAATCCCTCGTTCATCGCGTTACCCGAGAGGGGGAAACACGTTCTTCCTCTCCCACGAGGACTCCGAGATCCAGCCACAACCAACTTTCTTCTTCTTCCCTTTTCTCCATGCTCATCTTCTAAAACGTCAACCTGGATCTGGTTCTTCTTTCGGGTTTGGGAGAACCTGGTCTCCATATCGTACATCGTGAGCGCCGATCCGATTTCGACGTTCCACGGGGTCTGTTGATACCTCCGATCCGCTTAGCGATATCCTAACTTCACAATCTCCTGTTCTTGCCTTACTCTCGCCAACTGACCCGGAATGACGTTCATGTTCTCGCCCCCTGAATCCTCACCAGTGTCGCAAAGCTTGGAGACCACTATCTGAGCCCAAATCGCCCCTTCAAGGACATCTGTCCCCGTTCCGTGAGCGCCGCATGCTCCGAGCCCCTTCCCCTGATCTGCTTCAGCCTACCATGGAATCGCTACCAAACCATTTCCGAACAGGCACCGATGAACCGATTGAATGCTGGGATGACGATGACGATTTGCAGTTCAATGGGGATGTTCAATTTCGCACCGCATCCAGTGCTGGGTCCATAACAAATTCGTCATTTCGACCATCTGGGCATCGAGACTCGATTTCCTCGCGACGCTCTGCACGCTCAGATCTCGACTCCAATGTCGGAGACGAAGATTGGCAGGTTCCGCTCTACGAAAATGACGAATTTGCCAAAGAAGAAGCAATTGCTTCGGCCAAGACCGCCGGAATTCCAATTCCCCCAGATATCCCCAAATCGGCTCTCATCGGCGGCACAATCAAGCGCTTGTCCACCCGAAAGACCCGAAAGACCTTTGTAGACGACTGGTCAGAGGACGTTGAGCTCCCGGACCCCGAAACTATTCTGCAGCTTAAGACGCCCCGGGAAACAGTGTTTCCTGATTACCTTCAAAATGTGAGCTCTGCTGCCACAAGTCCAATCAAGTCCACGGCCTCGCCATCATGGAACGACGAAATGCCGATACATTTACAATCAGCCTTTGAGTTTGATAGCTTTGAACCCCAAGACATACCAACACTTAAAGCTCCGACCCCTCGCTCTCCGAAGAAATCATCTATATCCAATATCGGGGCTCTCAACGTGGAACAGGAAACAGACGACGACTTCAACCAGGACTTCGAATTACCTCAAACCCTCCAACCCCTAGAACTGTCACATCGAAAGGATGATTACAGCGTGTCTAGCCCCACCCTGGACGATTTCGATCTTGAGTGGTCCGAGGGAAGCATTGGTGTCAGGGTTGGTGGCACGACAAGAGACAGTCGCTCGGCTCCCAGCTCCTCGATTTCGATTGCTAGCCCCAGCGTCTCAAGCTGCCTCACGGCCGAAAGCGAGGACGATGGCCTCGACGGCCTCGTCATCCCCGAAGGTCCTTTGGATTTCAAAGCCTCACTCAAGAAGCGCCAAACAACACAGATTGAGAATGTGAATGTACAAAAAGACCAGCCGGATGAAGTCCCTGACGCCGATGACTTCTTCTCCGGAATCGAAATCGATAATGGAAAGGCGTTTTCTTCGGGGAAGCTGGCTTTGAACCCTAATTTAAAATGCAAAACAGAACGACCTTCTAGTCCAACTCGTCGATCTGCAACAACTCTCACATTCACCAGTGCGACAGGTTCTCCGCGAACCCGTATCCCTCGCTTGTCCGGCCATGACCGGACACATTCTACCCATCTTGAAACCGTCTCAGAAAGCGGTGCTCCTCTTTCCAAATTTCGAACATCTCAGTCGCGCCTAGGGCATTCATCTCAATCATCCACCTCAAGCCTCCCCATTTCTAATGTCATTCCAACATCCCCAACTCCACCGCTCTCTGGTCGACGACTTCTCGGGGCTCGAACGTCTCGGGAGAGTTCCCAGGCCAGCGAGGCCAATCCTCCTAGTAGGCGTTTGAAAACGAAACGCTCCCTACCCTCAATCCGTGGTACGGGATCCGTGACGTTGGCTCAGTCTTCCCAGCACCCGTCGATAGATCGTCCGGTGCGTCTGCCTTCTTCAAGACCTAAAACGCCGGTGGATCGCCCCTTGATTGATGGGAGGGCATTTGGTCGCAGATCCCAGGTACCGTATCTACCAGCTGGCCCCCCAGAATCTCAATCACATACCAATACGAAGGGATTCCGCTCCTCCCGTCGCACAAACTCGGACAGCTCTAGTGGTCTCCTAAGTCCACAGGGAACCTTCGGCCGGCTTCCTCGATCAACTCGGAATGAGACCTTCCGTACAAGCTTTGGCGAATCAACCCCGGACTCTGCTGGTTCCGCAAAGCGCACCCTCACACGACCGACCAAACGACGTAATTTTGGAGATGGAACGGAGCTCGAGTCGTTTGACGACTTGTCTACATCGGTCGCAGCAGAGAACAAGTTTGTCAAAACTCCCACGGGTCGAGGTGTTCCAAGATCTCTTCGTACCAGACTCAGCCAGAGTCGGATTGAACCACCGCAAGATGTGTCACCTGCCCAATCATCAACATCCCCATCAGCCTTGAAATTGCGAAGCCCGACTCCTAGGTTTGCCCAAGATACCAATGCATCCAGGAATGCAAGGGAGCAACGCATTGCTTCCATAGCAATGAACATGAAAAACCGGGAATCGAATCCTCTCTCTAGTTTCAGCTCGAGTTGGAAGCCCCAGCCTATCTCCCGAGCTCCCCCGTCAGCAACAATTCGAAGCCGAAAAAGCAGGCCTAGTGCCAAATCAACATCAAAACCACACTTGATCAAGCCGATGGGATCCGGGGTACAAGATGCCAAATGTAAGCATATGTCTTTTAAATCATTGACCCAAGCTCACTATCCCTCGTTTCTAGCTGTGAGAGGTATGCGGTATAACCCCACAAACTTCCGTTGGGAAGGAAACGAAAACCTGATGCAAGAATTCGACCCTGCTCCAAGATCACCCAAACCTGCACCTGCTCTCATTACCAATGTTGGCGCGATGCACAACGTCCAGACTGTCGGTGGGATGGTCTTCGATCCACATCGTATGTGCTGGCTCAAGGCTCCACTTGACGGTGTTGCAGATGAAGATGATGTCTTTGCCGGTCTAGATGACTTGGAGGCAAGTAGCCCTCACGGACGCACCTCGGGGGCATTTGAAGCCCCCCAGTTCCAGGGAGATGAGGCAAGTGCCGGTGAATCCTCCGACGAAGGGCCCATGACCGAGGAATTCGATGTCGGGCCAGAATTCATTCGACGACAGAGAGCCGAGGAGGAGAAGTGGAGGCGCAAGGTTGACAAATGGGTTGGCTTCGACCGCCACGAATACCACCTATGGATCATCCGTGATTTGGTGGCACTTGATGGCAGGGGAGAAATAGCCTAGATGGGGCGACTTGTCGCCTCTGGCAAAATACACGACCTTACGACCTATTGGCATGAATTTACGGTGACTTTTCACGCCTGGCTTTTGTAACTATACAGTACTATTAATATGTAAAGAGTCAAGTTTGTTTTATTCCGAGAACGTTGGGCAGAATTCCATAGCAACTTCTGCAACTCCTGCAACTCCTGCAACTCCTGCAACTCCTGCTACTTCTGCCCCTTCTGCCACTTCTGCAACTCCAACTCCCGCTATTCCCGCGACTCCCGCAGCTCTTCATCTCTTTCCCACCTCTCCCAGGTCTATCCATGTTCGATGAAATACTGAAACTCGGACTCGGACGTGATGCAGACCATTTCCGGGAAAGAAACTGATCGGGAAGCAACAGTCCCCCCTTTTCAGTTGTGAACAGGATTCCGATTGCTTCCTGCGAGGGTCCGAACCTTTGGATGTTGGGCGACAAATCGTGTCTCACTAAGAGCCAAACGTATGCAATCCTGCCGTCCCGCATTGATTGCCCTGCACCTGTCACTCGGAGATGCTTGCCACGTCAAACCGAAACACATACTTGGCAGTGGGACATGGACACACAGCATACATGCAACCGGGATTTCCTAGCCTCTCCAAGATAGTAACATCCTCATCCTCAAGCCGGCGAGAACGCATCCATGTTCCTTACCAATTGGCACGGCTACTTGCAGGGCAAATCTGTTTGTGACCAGGCAAACGTGCAGAAGATCGATTCTATGCAAATCGGGGAGATCCTCATCTTCCCCCCCCGCCTCTTTGTCCCGATAGGATGCCTCGAATACCCAACGTGGCTCTGGAGCGTATCACCCTACCGAAAATATACCCTTTTCTTTTTTTTTGGCCTTCTGTACCTTACCTCGACTCTTTTTTTTTTCTCTCTGTGGAATATTTGTTGCTGGTCTTCCAGGGATGCCCTCTGTTGTTTCCAGCCTTTTCGATATGGTCTCGTGTCTCGTGCTCTTAGGACGCCCACGCCGTTTGGGGTCCTTTTAATGCAATCACTGCCCCATTTCTAGACGGGCCTACAGTGACTTTTCCCTCGCTTTGATATCCTATTGTCATACTTGTGTGGAAGTGGTTGTTCCTCACGCCTCGTCTCACTATACTCTGTCATTTCGTGTCTGTCCACATTGTACTCAGGGCTTGTTCCACAGATCATCATATGCTGCAAGATCGATATCTGAACGGAAGCTAGATACCAGCCATGAGCAGCTTTGCAAGGCGCAACGAAGGGAATGATACCTATCTCGTGAATCATCAAATGGCAGTGCCGGGCTCATATAGCCAACAAGAGAATCATGACCTTACACATGGTTCCTCATATCCCTTCCCTCAACATTCGTTCAACCCCTACGGGTCTCAGTTTGGGCAACCTTACGGTCCACAATCAAGCTTGCAACATCTACAGTACTCGTCAGAACATTCCATTCCATCAATGACAACCCAGGAGGATCCCAGAATTCATGCCCCACAATACATGCCCCAGACGCGCTATCTTCAGGCGCCAAGATACCTACCTCTTCGCGATCCATCGCTCAGCGAGGCAGAGATTGAACATCAAGAGTCTCGCAATGAGATATCCAAGCTCTCAGAGCCTGTGATTCCCGCCCTTGACGGCTTTCCCGATGTTAAGGAATTTGACCAGTTGATGCAGAAGTTAGTGATGAGCAAACCCCTGTCATCTTCATGCGTGGATCAAGGCTAACCTTATCATTTTAGCTATGTCAATGATCTTTCTGTCAAGAAACAAGACAAGGCATTGATTCATGCTAAAAGAGCCCGTAACATTAGGACCGTTTTGATTGATCCAAAGGATACAGCGGTAGAGTCGGCGCAATTCAGGTATGACATTCTCTCGTTTCTGGTGCACTTATGCTAAGTGAGTCAGGTTCTGGGTTAAGAAAATGTTCAAGTTGCAGGCCATGGGGACTGGAACGCCCGATGTAAGCTCTGCTACTTCAAAGTGCCTGGCTGTCCAATGCTAACGATAATGTCTTGATAAAAAGTGCAGAAAGATGATCTGCCACGAGGGGAAGCCAGTTGCGATTCGAGAGAAATTGTTCAAAATCCTCACCAAGGCACATCAGCAATGCCAGCATGGTGGCCGCGACAAGACCTCTGCCCAGGTCCGGCGAATCTATTCATGGTAGGCAGCTTTGGACAGGCTATACTCATGTCGTCTCATGCGTATATATGACCGTTCAGCAATTGATTGTCTTTTAGGGTTCCGAAAGAACTGATCTCCCGCTTTGTCAAGATCTGTCCAACCTGTCAAGTGCGCCGTGGAGGTTCACGATTGACACCACCAAATTCACGAAGAAGTTCCCCGCGACTGGAAATTGTCCCTCGATCCCCCAAACTCCCGTCACCTTCGGTTTCACGGCGAGAGTCCACTTTTGGCCAAATGCCCATGGAAAGAACACAGTCTGACTATTTCAGCCATCTACAGGGCCAGAACAGTTGGCTTGATACCCAAAGTGTGCAGGGCCGTTCAACCCTGGGCAACGGAGGACGGTCGTTCCAGCCCATGGGCACCATTTCGCACTCAATGGCCGGCACGCTGGACCCTTACACCACTGATCTATCAATTCCTCCTTCGCATTTGACCTATACCACGGGATACATTCCGACACATGGAGCCCCTCCCCCGCGAGAGTTCTAAGTGCCTTGCTTGACCTTATCTCACATTCTAGTTGTACGGGATATACTTTATGTATCCCCCAAAAGTGTACCTTGTTCGGAGCCTCTAGATCGCTCCACTCCTCCTCGCCGACATTGAGTTGAACAGGATAGAACAGACAGTGGTTGTATCACTCCATGCCTCTGATGGATGGAGAGACAGAAAATTCCAGTAGTAAGATACAAAATAAATAAAAATCCTTGCATTTTGAAAGTATGACCCGACCCATATCACATTCAAAGAGCTGCCTACAAGATTAATTCAATGCCGCGTATTTGGACTATCGCTTGCAGACATAGTGGATGAGATCATCCTATAGTCTATGTAATCGATCCCAACGCGTCTATCCTAGCAGCCCTATGTTGCCGGATTGTCGATGCATACATTGGCAACATAAAAACATTAGTTCATATCCAGCAAACCACAGACAACGGCGGCCATTGCATGGATTGCGGGTATCACACTTGGTATTCGAAAGAACTCGGCGGTCACTGCATCCAAGCAGATAAACAGCAGACCCCAGAAAATTGATGCCAAATGTCAGTCTTGAATATAAGCAATCCAAGATCTCATGGAGTCGTCGGTGAATGACATGAGATTGTTTAAACAGGGAGTGAGAACTTCTTGCCCTTCAGAACCCTAGGAACCCGCCGACGTTAGCATATATTATTCTGCGGAATATGTGTTGGCAACTCGGCTTACTTATTGTAGTAAATGTAGAAGAAGTCCGAATAGAGAAGGGTCTGGATGATCCCAGCGATGATCGGCGTAGGATGGAAGGAACGCTGGAATGAGACTTCGGTGAAGTAGCGGAACATCCAGTTTGGAATATAAAGTGCCCTATAGATTCCCAGGGCAAACAGATAGTGGGTGGTAATTGTATCCGCCTCGCCAGTTCGCTGGAGCATAAAGAGTTGAGGCAGAATGGCCACTGACTCCAACCAAATTGAAAAGGTCCAAAGAATCTGTATAGCTGTCAATTCGACTATCCCAGCTTGGCAAGCGAAACAGTAGTTGCGCATAAGGTCGATACTAACCTCGGCGAAACGATATTCGCGTGGGAAGAGGATCGCAAGCAGTGCGCTAATTCCAAGGAGGTATTGAACTTTAAAAGTATCGAGATTGGGATCATGTGTAGGTTTGTAGTCGTTGAGCATAAGGTAGATGACGTAGGCCGAGGAGCCGATGAACAGGAGCTTGAAGGTAGTGAGGTACAAAGAATCGGTGAGTGTCCAGAAGAGGTCTGGCGAGAGTTGCACGCGTTAGCGACTGGGCTTTTGCAGGGCTTTTGTGACGATGACGTGGAAACTGACCTAGATAGCGAGTAACAAAGACCAAGAGGTAGAGCACCTGTGATTTGAAGGACAACCCCGAGCAACTCTGCGATTCCAATTAGCTGCAAATCCCAGGTCAACCGCTGGAGAAGCGTACGCTCGATGTCTTCATCTTCTGCAGAAGCATGAAGATCGAAGCCAGATGGGAGAAATCGCCTGCGGATTGTTAGCAGATGGCATTGACCTGAGAGGGCATGTCATACCTAATAGCCTGAAGATATTCATAGTGAGGATGAGTTTCAAAGGCAAAGTAGAACAGGAGATGAGAAGGAGAGCATGGAGTTGTTGACAAGTTGACACGAATGCAAAAAACGGAAGGGGAAGGTACAGTTGTAATTACAGTACTGCAGATCAGGTACGCGACCTGTATCCGTACGGTACATTCTGGAGAAGTACCCCTTAGCCGTCACCGAGTGGGGAAAAGTACCTGTTTCAGATGTATTTCCGTTATCTATGATTATCGGTTACCTGCCTTGGCCCTTTTTGATCTACAACCATTCGAACTATATAATAGGATCCAAAATGAAAATCATACAGTTCATAAATTAGTCTAGAGTAAACAGGGTAAACAGTCGCTTCCATCCATTGGTCATAATGTACATTGAGTGTCTTAGAATAAGATTCCACCGCCGATGCTCTCGTCGGCCATTCGCTGGAGATTGCCCTCTGCTAGCTCGCTTTTGAGAGCGCAGATGGAGCTTTCGCGGTCAAGTCGATCCCAGTCTCGAAGCTCGGCTCGCTTAGAACGTTGTGTTTCCGCCATTTGTTCCAGCAGTTTTTCTTTGTCGATATCAAGCTGAGACAGCCGTTTCTCCACAGCAGGTTCCAGAAGAGATGGAAGACATCTCCCATCTGGCACGATAGCACATAGTCCAGCAAGATGGTTGCCCCCACGGGGGGAGTCGGTTGAGCTCCAGATGCAGAAATGGATTGTCGTGGGTTAGCATGGCGATAACTTCCCCCTGTAACCGGGGAGGAGAAGGAGGCACGTGGTCCTGCTGGAGGACCGTGTGAAGCAGGAACGGGGCCGCGGCGTACCGGGGGAGATCCCATCCAAGATTCACGCGAGCTTAGTCCACGGCGAGGACGAGTCGGTGCCGACAGTACCCCGCGTGGATTAGATGGTGGCCTCGGTCCTTGATATGGCCCTGATGGTGGGAGATGATGTGGGCTTGCGCTATGGTTTTTGGGCTGGGTTGGAATGTTGTTAACTCTAGATCCGCTCATTTGATGCTGGTCTTGTGTCTTCTCTGCATTGAAGCTTGCGGGCTGATCATTTGAAGACAAGCGCTCTCCGGGTTCCGACCGCTTCGGGGTATTCAATGAGACCGTATCAGGGATCTGATCCTGGAGTGGAGATCGGCCCGATGGTTTCGACGAACGCTGTGGGTCCAAGGAGACCGGTGAGTGACTACAAGACCCCCGTGGCGCGAAGCCAGCCTTTTCTAAAGGTGGGGATGAGCGTTGAGATATAGTCTCGGATTTTGGAGGGATGGTTTGTGCAGGCGAAGCAGGTCGTGACGGTAAAATCCGATCCTGGCTAGTTCCATCGAGCGCATGATCTCGACGGGAACCATGTAGTGGACTTTGCGACGGCAAAACTTCCGATGGCATTGTTGGTGAAGAAGCTCTGGTGGGTTTGTCAATGTTCGGAGCTGGTGGGCCTTCTCTCCTGGAGGGCCGGAATCCCTGGGTACCCGGTGTTGTGTCGCGCGGCCATCTCGGGCTATTGCGGCCACGAGATGAATCGCGAGATCTTCCATCATTGAAAGGCGATTTTGAACGCCAGATTGGCGGGGGTGATCTGATCCTTTCTTCTCTTCTGGGTGAGAATCTTCTTGGTGGGGATCGTCTTCTTTCGTAGTTGTTTGGCCCAAATCCCCTTCCTAGGGGAGTTCGTGAGCGGCGGCGGTAATTCGGTGGAGACCGACTTCGTGGGCGTCCATATCCCCTGGTAGACGAAGGCACCCAGGTGTCTGCTCGCTGTCGAGGTGGAGATCGGGTTCGGGGCGGCGAGCGCCTGTGACGAACATCGTAACCCCGAGAGGGTGAGCGGCCTGTTCTATCAGCCGGACGATAGCTTTCTCCTCCTCTTCGGTCGTCAAATCTAAAGTAATAATATCAGTCAATAATTCTCCTTGAACCGTTCAGGGTGCGGCTACAAACCTTCTACGACCCCACTCCATTCTAGCCAGAGCGATGCAGCTCAGTTGAAAAGGAAGATCTGGTTATTTCCTTGTTGTGTATAGGAGTAGCTAAGAACAGAGTGCGAGATTTGCGGTGTGATTGTTCAAAGCGCAAGGAGTTGAAGGTCTGGAAGATCTCAAGACTGTTCGTGGGCTAAACCTTTTCGGGAAACGCAAAGCTTGGGGGAATGCATGTGACTAAAACCACATCTGGCTTCCAAACTTGGAGAGGCTTTGCACATGGCAATTAGGTGCTTGTCATGTTTTTGGTCAAGAGAAATAAAATAAACTACCGTACATTACAGGCCAGAGACCTTTACAACCTAAAGTACACCAGCGTAGCCAATCCCCGAATGCCCGTCACGAAATAAGCGCCTAGTATAAATTCAGAATTCAACATTGGAAAGCACTCAGTGCTTTGTCCGTCTCTCCTCTTCCTTTCGCAGCCTTTTACGGCTCTCCTGGGCGATCATATCACTCAAGTCCTCCTTGAACCCCCAGCTTGGTTGATTTTGTTGTTGTCTCTCGGTCTCGTACATGTCGTGGAGACTTTCCTTGCTGATGCCATCATTGGACTGAATTGCATCCAAGTCAACAGAAACCTCAACATCGCCGGGCTTTTTGCGTTTCCGATTTGAGTCATCTGCCCCGAGAACGGGAGGTTTTCCCGAGGACCCGGCGAGGTCGTATGCTCTGTCGCCGCCGAAAAAGCCTTGCACATTCGTTTGTCTCTCTGGGATTACTTGGTATGCACTTCTAGGGTGCACAGATTCTTCTGTCTCAGTTCCACGGTGATGTTTGCGGACATCAAATTCCCCAGAGACACTTTCAGTTCCAACAAACTCGGATGGTACCGTTGAATCGATGCCACTGGGAGTCTCCAAACCGCTGGGGGAATGAGCATCTGTTTCCATCCCATCTTCATCAGGCTCTTCGTCGTCCTCGTCTTCTTCGTCTTCTTCGCTCTCTGGCTCCGACTCCTCTGATTCTTGAAGCTCGCCCCAAAGGTCTTTCTCAATCGGTTCTCCTTGCTGGGCGTGTTGTTGAGGGTGCAGAACGCCGAAGATATCGCCTCCATAGAGTGGGCGATTATGTTCATCAACGGGAGGCTTTCCATAGCCTCCTGGATGGTAACCCCACGTCGCACCTGGCGGGGGTGGCGCATTGAGACCAGGAAGTTTCAATGCAGGGTAAGAAGGTGGGGGGCCATATCGTTGCTGATTCACAAGCCAAGGAGGAGGAGCCCCTGGCGCCATGTTCAAAGCATCTCTGAGCTCATCACTAATCTCACCGGGGCGAAGATGCTTAAGGTTAGTTTCGTATTCTTTGCCTTCGTAATATATCTCGCCATAGCGAGTCAACTCGGGCTTAGTCTGGAAACGGAAGAACGCCTCGTAGAGCTTTTGGTAATCAATGTCGAGTTTTCCCATTTTCGGTTGGACTCGTTCTCTCTGCTTTTGTTTCAAGGAGGACTGTTCCTGCTTGTCCAAGGCGGCGTCGCGCATTTCAGAGATTCCTGTCTCCTGTATGAATTTAGGCAACGCGAATGGTGCCTTCTCGACTCCTCTCTTGGACGAGAGATATTCTCGTTTGAGAGACCAATGCGAAGGAACAGGAACCACGTTGCGATGGGCTTTAATGTGAATGAGAAGTCGAGGGTCGGGGGCGGATGTGTCTGTCCATTCAACAATTTCTGGCTTCCGGACCATTGCCTTCAATTCTGCAACCGAGAGTTTGTTCAATTCTTTTCGTTTCTTTTTTGACAGCTTAGGCTCATTTTCCTGCTCTTCGTCGGGGATTTCATCGCCATCATCAAAATAGACCTCGGGTTTTTCAGAATCCTTCGAAGTCAAATTTTCCGGTGCCACTTCGTCGAACTTGCCGGCAACATCTTTGTACATTTCCCATAGTGGATCACTGGGCTCGGATGCCAGATCAAAGTCGTCAATTGTTGTATCTTGGGCAGTAGGAAGAGGGGCGGGCGGCTCTATGGGGGTCTCATTTTGAACAGGCAAGGTGGCAGCCTTTGCATGGTAATTAGTTTCGGTCTTCTCTGTGAGATACTTCGTCGGTGGGTTTGATCTCACCTCGGCCTTTTGAGCCTTTTTCTTTGCCCTTCTTAGCTGGTTCTTGCTTGGTTTCATGGTTGCTTGGGAGCTGACAGTCGCTCAACCAGCGATGAGTGCAATAGAGACTGACAGTTGTCAAACCAGTTGCATCAGACCAACAGGATAAGGTACGTCAGATGACAGGCTCTAATGCTCAAAAACGTTGGTTTGGTAGGGCAAGATATCAAATCAAAATATGCAGAGGGCGACGGTCATCGGTATACACGTGATCAGAAGCTGTCTTCGTTTACCGCCTTTATTCTGCCGGAGGTCAGACCTGGGCGTCCAATATTCAAGACTCGCGATAAAGAGTGTTAGTCTAGGGTTTACTCAATTCTAACAAGACATGTAGGTCGAATTTGCCATCATTGGTAAGGAGTGCAGTGACATGAAACATGGATTATCTAGTGTACAATAAGAATGAAAGACAGAAGGATAACTGATACATCCGCATAAACCATGCTTTGGAACAATATATCAGAACAGAAGGATTTATACAAGACTGTGTATGGGAACCTTTTCAAATGGGCAAGTGAAAATCCAATCTCATTACGGCAATGAGAATGTTATGCGCTGATGTTCAAGTGGGCTCTGGATACAGGCAAGCCATCTCAGTGGGCAAATAGATTATTTCTTCTTCTTGGCGGATCGAGATTCTATGATGTGTTAGACTTTAGTTTTCCATGCGTATGGAGCAAGTGAAGCAAAACAGTACCTGCGGCTGTGCGTTTCTTCTTCGGTCGGCCCTTGCCACGCAACTTGGCACTAGAAGTTGAGAGATATTAGTGAGCTTTTCAACAACAGGCTAAATAAAGTTCTTACACCTGAATGGCTTCTTCTCGGTCCTCTTCCGCCTCGTCAAATGTCGTCAATCCAAGAGGTTTGTAGGTATTTTGTAGATCACGGAAGGACACAGTCTTCTTTGGGTACCATGCTGCGAGTGCAGGGCCTCGCAGGCGCTGTCTCAAAACCTTGTTTCCCAGTCGAAGTCGTTGTGGGTTGAAATTGAGGGAGAATATGCGGCATTGGGTCTGGGGAGAGTACAGTCAATATAATGAACACTAGGACAAAAGCCTGGAGAGGGTATACGAACTTTGACCAAATCTAGAATCCGACTTTGTGCCATATTTCCTCCTGCGATGAATCACATGCGACAGTTGGAGAATGAGGCTGTTTGTCAAACAGCTGCTTAAGGGATCTTGTCTGATATGCGCGGAGATGTCGGCTGAACTTTGTCACGGTCATGTGATCACTGAACCAACAACATCTACCTTTTCACTGACTCGCAACCATTTCTCCTAACATGCCTCAGGACAATGAGACACGAGACTAGAAAATGCCAGAAGATCCAAAGACCTATCTGAAGCGGCCAAATTCTATGTCTGACGCTGAGGCTGTTCAGAAACCACCAAAAAGACCAAAGGTGATTATCATATCGTTACAATTAGGACATCTCGGAGGCTTGGTGTATGACTGACATATTAAAGGTACATTGTGCAGCACAGTCATCTGCGACCAGCCTACCTATCACCAATGACGGCAGTGTAGCTTTGAAGACTAGCACTGATGCACGTCTCCTTGCCTTACAGCAGCTTGTTCGCGACACCTTGGACAACTGCGACCTCACAGGTGCTGACTCGGAAGTTATGAAAGCACTTTCAACCCTAGACGAAAAATTGCTTCGGGCTCAAAATCCACCGCTCAGTGCATGTTCTACTGGGACTCGGCAGACTCCAAAGCGTCACAACTCTGATCACGATGTATCCGGACTCAACGAAGCGTTCACGTCTGTGCTACCTTCAATCATGGATGAGAAGCTGCGGACCGCTGTGTTTACTCATCCAGCCCTCAGCAATAAAAATAACACGACTTATGACCGGCTTGAGATTCTTGGTGATGCCTATATTGAGCTGATTGCAACAAAGATTGTTTGGGAAAGATTTCCAGATTTACCATCTGGTCGAATATCACAGATTCGGGAGATTCTTGTCAAAAATGAGACCCTCTCAAAGTTTGCGGAAACTTTTGGCTTCGACCGCAAGGTTGCTGTGCCTTTAAATTACAATAACTCGTCAAAGAGATGGACAAAAACCAAAGGGGACGTATTCGAGGCTTACGTTGCTGCAGTCATTTTATCAGATCCGGTAAACGGGTATCAAGTAGCTGAGCATTGGCTGACCGATTTATGGATGCCATTCCTACAAAATCTGGGGCGCCAGAAAGGCGGGTTGCGCTCCAAGGAGGCTCTCGCTAAGAAGATCATGGGCAGAAATATCAAGCTCGAATATCTTGAAGAACGCCCGTCCGTCCAACTGAAAGGTGGCACCCAAACCTTCTTTATCGGGTTATACCTCACTGGGTGGGGATGGGAGAAAAGACATCTAAGCTCTGGCCAAGGCTTGAGTAAAGCAGCTGCGGGTGATGAAGCTGCAGAAAATGCTCTGCTTGACAGTTCTTTGATTTCTGAAATAGTCTCGGTGAAAGAATCTCAAGAATCAATAATGTGAGCTCTTTACGTATTATCAAAGTTACATTTCTCGTTGCACGTATGAAACCACTTTTGATCTAAAAGTTGTACATGTTGCTTGGATTATAACGTTATAGTTATACCTTAACTTATCGCCTATCATTACCCATCCCACTTTTTGGGGGTCTATTATCAGAATATATATAACCACTTGCCTTCCATACATCACGGCCATCATTTAGTCTATACCTTTATAACTACAACTACCAGACTGTTAAGTAGGGCTAACCCCATTTCTCGCTAAGCACTTATTTTTATTATGTTCATAAACTATCTTTATAGCCCCTAAACGTCTCCATACTCAAAATTGGCACATCTATACTACATAATCTAATACCTCCTACATAGCCACTGTCAGAACCAGCATAGTTTGATAGGAGACCCCACTGAATGGTATACGGTGACCGAGGCCACGTGTGACGGAGTGCGCTGCTGGATGTGGCGGGAGAGCATGACTGCCTGACGGCAGTCATGGTAATCTTTTGGCTTGGTGTACAACCAACCCACTAGGCTCTCCTAGTGGGTTGTAGTAACAGCCACTTGATATTGCCCAAGTCCGACTATTGACTATCTCTAGATAGGCTTGATCTAGTTTAAAGTAGGTATTTTTAGGGGCTAATTCTTAAAGTATACACCATAGGGCTTAAATTACTCCCGCATCTCCTTCGCTATATAAAGCCTCGCGATATCTTACTGAAAGGCTATTCCAGAGATATAGAGGGGCAATAGAACCTCGAGTATATTAAGATAGGATTAACTTGAACGGTATATCCTATTCGGTACTAATTGATTTGATTCGACTTCCTAACTAGACTATAGCTTAAGATATTTCTTAAATATCTGTAATATATACTTTCGTATCAATCAGGTCCCTTGAAGGCAGGCCTAAGAGCAGGATATTCCTAAGCCATAGGTGTAATAAAGTCTATATATTATAATTAATCCTCCCATTATAATATAGATGAGAGTATACTAATATTATACTTCTTCCTCTTCTTTAACTAAGCTATCTATGTACGTACTTTTCTTCTTGCATAATACTCCTATTATAGGTCGTCGTAATAATAAAAAAGTATTATTAATATTCCGATACTTCTTGGATTTATAGGCGTCTCGGTAATATACAAAAGACTCCTTCAATATTTTTATATATATTTACTACATTTTATTATTTATTTCTTACTATAGCCAAAGACTTCTAGAAATTTAAACTTTTAATAAAATAAGATATTTTAATTACAGGGGATTTATTTTCGCTCATATACTAAATTAATTTATATTATAGTTTCGACGCTATATCGACTATAGATAAGACTACTTTAGGAGCCAAATTCCTTTAATTTGTACACCAATTTATAACTAATTCTAACATATTTCGTAGATCCTAATATTAAGATATAAAAAAGCCTAATACGTTAGGTAGCGTTGCTTTTTAGTGAAATAGTTTTAATATCCTCTTTTTAAGAATGCTTTATATCTAGAAGCGCTACTTGACATATCATTATGAGATAATAGATTGTAGTAAATATTTTTCGAAGTACTTGTAGACTCGTCTCTACCTAACAGATAGTAAAGACAATTAATTAAGTATCCTTGTGAAGTATTATTCGAAATTTCATATTTAAGATGGAATAATTCTAAGTTAATATAATTCGAATTGTACACTAGATAAAGATGATACATTTTAAAATTAGTAGCCTAGTCTTATAGATATTAAGACCTAGCTATAGTTGCCGAATCTTAAAAGATCTTTTTATAGGTACAAAATATTAATAGACTATACCTCTATATTCTTATTCTATAATATTCTAAATAGAATAGAATAATTTTTTTCCCTATCAAATTGTTTTATATTAACCCCCGTAGCTAAGTCCGCTTAGTAGATAATTTATTAGGTATAAACTATTAAAGATTATAGTGAATAGATATAGCCCATACTATAAATAGGCTAAAATAGCTACTAATATTAGTACTTATTTGTTGGGAATCGGAGAAGGATTAGCTTAAAGGTATAGTTTTCTAGTATAAAGGGAGTTTACTATATAATAGTGAATCCTTAGACTTAAGTCACATGGTATATTCTCCTATATATTGTTTATTTATATATCATACGCTATTATTATTTCCCTTGAGATATCGCAACTTCCAAAATAACCTTGTAGTTATATTCTAGTAGCTAAATTTTCTATTTTACTAAGTAGTAGAGAAATCCTTCAAGATTATTATTTTTATGTTTAGTCTATTCTACCTCCAGTAAAAATAATTTATTACTCCTTAATTACTTTTCATTCAAGATATAGAAGAGGAACTTTGGAAGATATGATGGATTCAATAGTATTTCGTATTAAATTAGAGGCAATACGTCTACGATATAAATTCCTCTAGAATTATAAAAGGTCTAATTTGTCTTACTAGTAATTTCAGTGAATTTTTTAACTTGAAAAGGCTTTTATATATAATATAATAAACTGGTATTCATTCTATCATATGAATTAATATTTTGAGTTACACCCTCTCACTTATCCTTTAATAGCTTTTCTCTAGGATTCCGCTAGCTTATCGCGTAGTTCCTTTAATGTTCCAATATGCGTAAAGGCTACTAGAGCCTCTCCCTCCAAAGTACTAATTATTCCTAGAGTGGATCTAGAAATTATTTTAAGAGGACGTCTAACTATTCGACTAAAAATCAACTCTACTTAATAGTGCTAGCCTTATATCTCAACGGGAATTGTGATTTTATATTAATTAATACTTGTATATCTAACTATATTATTTATCACGTAATTAGGCAGGAATTTACCTCTTCTTCTTTAATAGTTTTGGCTATAATTTTTAGAATTAGCGTAGGGCTACTGTTTAACTGCTATCCTTATACGATATAGCTAATTCATAGGAGCTAGGTTATTCTCTATTAACTAGTGAGATGTACTAGCTATCCGGCTTGACATCTCCGGTTATAAAGCCAACTAACACCACCTATAGTTAGGAGGAAGCGATCCTAAGATATATGTATGATATTCAAAATACTACTTGAAATATAGTTTGTAAATTATATTTAATTATCCAATTATGACTAGATTAATGTATATAGTCAGAGCTTTATCTATAGAATAAATATACTAATACAATAGCTACAATAACTTTCAAAAAATATGACTCTAATTAGTTACAGTTGTTACGACTACCTCCTAACTAGGGGAGTTGTGTGCCTTAGAAATAGATATACGAGTTCGGCTAACTAGGACCTATTAAAAGTCATAGGGACTGACTAACCTATTTCCGATATATTAGTTATATAATATAATAATAGTTTAATTATAGCTATATGCTAATTACAGGAATCAAGGTTGAAGCTATTCCTTACGATATATATGTATTATAATTATATACGCTATATTTTGCTCTATATCCTAGCTATTTAGGAGACTCAGAAACCTGACTATTGACGTTAAGCATTACTACTACCTATCTCTAGTCAATAATTTAATAGAGACTAGACTAGTTCCTATTCAAGCAAACTATATAAACCTTATGTAATGATATCATATAAGGCTAGTGTTCAAATAGTAGATCCCACGCTAGTCCCAGGTCTTAGCGTTTAGTTTACTTTTTAGAATAGTATATTATTATTATATACCCTTTAATCCTTTTCTAAACCAGTAATGTATTCTATAGTAAGTCTACTACTAGCTTTATTTATTAGATAACGCATTAGTACTATGCCTACTGTATTGACTCACTTTTTAAACTACTCGATCTATATACTAGTCCCCTATACTATTAATGGATTAGAGCTTAAAGAACTATTCTATACTACTACTTAATTACGATTTAAGCCTACTAATGGAATTATTTTAAGACTTGGCTATTCTCTAAGGTTTAGATAGGTAAGCGAGATAGAATACTGATAAAACGTATATAATAATATTAGGTATATATTATAAATAGGTAGACTGAATCGTGGAGTAGTGGTTAGAGCAGAGTTAGTTACTAGAGATAATTCCGTAAGAGCCTCGAGATATAAAAGAAGAATATAGCGAGAGAGAGAGAGAGGTATAATTGAGGGAAGAATATAAGAAAGGGGAGAGGGCCCATCTTATACCTCAATATATCAATAGGTATATTTAGGAGAGTACTTCAAAATAAATTCCCGAAGAAGAATTTAACAAAGAAGATAAATAAAATAAGATGTCTTGCCTAAGATTTTCTCTTATCTTTAATAACTAATTAGTCGAAGCCTATAAAAATTGAAATAGACCCTACTTGAGTCTTACCCTATAAAGGCTAATTCGAACCGTATATTCAATAAATATAAACACGGATCTAAACCGCGAGACTAGCGTAGTCTTATGATAAAGCCTAATAGTAGGTTATATAATAATAATAAATGTATTATAGTAATAAGTAAACTAAACGCTATTTCTAATGATCAGTGTAGGATTCGCTGTTGAACTACTAGCTATATATTATCTACTTATATAGGAACTATATCCGTCCCTATTAAACTATAAGAAGGATAGATAGTACTTAACGCCTATAATCAGGTTCCTAAGGCTCCTAAATAACCTAGTTAGAGGTAGTTTTACTAAGAATTTAGGCTGGCGTAGGAAAGCTTATTCGACTAGAAAGTAGTCAGATACTATATTCCTGCTATTCATATTTAATATATCTTGAATACCAGCGACTCTATTATCTTAATACATTTTTCTTATATTAAATTAGCAAAATAGTATTGATAATAAAAATATAGGTTTATAAATAAATATTATTAAAAACCAATAATGTTTCTTAAATAATTACTTTAGAAAAGTTATAAGTACTAGAAAAGTGCATTCGAAATTGCTAATATTCAAAGTAATAGATTCATTATACGAAAGGTTACTACTCACGAGGGTATAGACCACTATTTTAGCACGGACAAAAGTATATAGGGTAACTAGCTCTAGAAGGGAATGAAGTGCTATAATACATAGCTTCTTA